TCTGTTGCTGTTTACATCCACAGCATGTGTCCCCCATTTTATTGGAGCGAAAGTTGGACAAACACAGGGAAGACGCTGACAGATTAGGAGACAGTTGGGAAGAGGTAGTTTTATTTCAGAGTAGGAGGCTTAACAGCTGTCTCCATCTGTGCAAAGACGAGATGGACCGAAAGAAGGGAAATCCTCACAATTATACCTCAGATCAGTTAAAAATTTCAACAACAGCAATTGACTTAGACGTCTCATTATGAGCCTTTGTCAAATAGTAAAACAACTGACTTTGCAATTTTAAGCAAATGCAGTATGTTTAAAATCAATAACTCTTGAGTGTGTTGTCTTCTCTTTGCTGCATGAAACAGTGAAGAGCAAATCTCTACTTTTTCTTTATGTCTGGATGCCTTCATACAGACACCTCCTCTACGTTTTTGTGATTGTAATTAAAGGACATTAGAAGGAAATCTGACACTGGGATTTAAAAAAAAAGAAGTGGAAAAAAGAAGTGAGAGAGCAGATGCCATATAGATATGTTGCCTCCAGCTAACATGGAAGCAAGAAGTTGACCTTCACTACTTACACCCTTCCTCTCCACATAACCCAACCCCACTTTTCTCTGCCTTTGCAGTTAAATTAAATTTTCTCCTGTTGCAGGAGGAGTATTGGGGGATATGCAACAGAGGAGGAGTGGAGAGGGTCGGGGGTAGATGGTTAGATGGATTTAAGTCTTGTGGTTGTGCATATGGAGTATCACATTCTGCTATTTTCATTTGACTCTTTATTGCTCCCAGTTGTTGGGTTAAACAAAATGGGGCCTAACAGAAGGGGGGGGGGGGCACTTTGTTTGCGAGAAATGTCACAGTAGCTGAATAAAGCCAAAACACAGCTATGAGAAACAGGCAGTTAAGTGGAAACCAAAGTGAAGGAGCATATTAAGATGCATTTGGCAACATTCACTGGAGAGCTAAAATGATGGAGAAATAGCTTTTTAACTCTGCTCAGGTAGTTTGCACTCGTCAGCAGGAAGGTTCAATATGCCGTAGTATATGCATGTAAGTCTTTATGGGAATCTGTGTTTGTGCGTGTGTGTGTGTGTGTGTGTGTGTGTGTGTGTGTGTGTGTGTGTGTGAGCTTATACACAGGACAGTGATGTTAGGTATGGATCATTATCCAGTCGCTGCCTAAAACATCCCATGTAAAGACAAATGAAGAAATGAAGGGTGCTGGATCTAGGCAGAGATCCACATATTTGTTTGTCTCAGTCTCGGGTTTTTGACATTCTCTCACACACACATAGACACCCTTACAGTCCTGGGGGTTGACTGTAACCGCATGCTTTCCAGCCTCCACAAATAGAGAATAAGTTTAGGGTAAGCTTGTGATACAGCACTTCAGGTGAACATCTACACACAGCTATTCACAGTTAACAAGTTGAAATGCAGTTCAGTGCTCCAGAGGCGTGCAACCTCTGACATACATATCAATTTTAAGTTGCTTTGGATAAAAGCATCAGCTAAATGTAATGAAAAATTGTGAATGTATGTGTGTATGTGTAAAGTATATGTGTGTATTATCATGTTGTTCCCAACTCTTTACATGCTCATATTCATATTCATGACAGCTGATTGTGAGTGAACATGCATGTGTCCAGCACTATCTGTGTCCGTCAGAGAGATCTATGCACAGAATGTAGTTTTCTTTTCTAACTGCCTGACATTTGTGGAGGTCCATCTTTCTTTCTTTGGAGGGCTTTTCAGCACTTGTAACAGTGAAGGACGAACACACTTGTTCTCCCATCTCCACACTGTATTGTGTCATTCTTTTTTTACTTTTTTATGCATCTGTTAACCTCAATCCCCTCTGACTGCTCCTCTGGCATCCTCCCATCTGCTCTACGTTGTTTAAACCAAGAGCAAAGCATGATCCCCTTTCTCTCTCTAATATACACACTGTTTCTATTTTGGTGTGCTTGTGTGACATTTTCTGACCCCGGTATACCACCGCGACACAGGAAGTGAGGGCTGACACCTAAGTCATGTCATGTGTCTGTGTGTGTTTATGCCTGTATATCAGTGGGTATGTGATCACTGCTCTCTTCTGAAATAGGAATCTGAGCCACTTCCACGCTTACATGTACACACACACTGCTCTCCACTGTTACTGTTTTTCTCATTAATTCCTCCAGTCAATTCAGCCCTACATCAGCTTGTCATCGCCCACCTCCATTCCCCCTCAACTCTGCCACTCAGGACCATTTACACTCCCATGTTTCAGTCACTGTGACGCCCGCACCTCCAGCGATTGGCGTCCGATCTGTCAACAAGCCGACGGCTGCCTTTTATGTCTCAAATAAAGGTAGAGCAGGCATGGCCCCTGGTGACCCATATCCTATAATGCATATACCTGCTTAAGGAGGCACTTTGAATGAATCATGTTATACAGGGATGTTTTTAAGGTTTGCAGTCATCAATATATCCCTACTGAGTTCATTTGTCTCTGCCATCTTTCCTCCTGGTCACTCTTGTCATTTTTAGCTGCAGTATATATATTCCTCTCTGTCCCTCCCTGTTCATTTTTCAACCCCGACTGTCTTTCCTTCCCATCCCGCCACTCCCTTACAAATTCCTCTCTACCCACGTCCAGCTTGTCCTCCCCATCTCCGTCTCCTGCAGCCCTAGGGGACATGCTCCTGCCCTCTCTGCAGAGGCCTCAGTCCCCAGCAGAACTGCTCCATGCTTCTGTTTTGCTGTTTAAGGATGCAGGGGCTGAAGCAGGGGGAAGTAGAGCCCACTATGGAATATGGAGACTATTAATATAAATGCTGCGGCTGGCAGGGTGCGTGTGTTAGCTGGCATCTGTGTCTGAGGTTTGAAGGTGTAGAGGTGTTAAATGATTAAAATTGTTCAAACATAAATTTTAAATGAGAGTCAGTAGGTGCACAGCTGTACTCATTCTCCATTGTTACATTTTAAATTGTTTCTTGTCATTGCCAACAAAGTCTGGCGGCAGCTACAAACTGAATCAGAAAAATAATAACAAACAGTAGACTTAGTTAAAATTCTGGTCAAGTGGTTCACAGTAGACTGGGCAAATCTTTAACTTAACACAGGCAACCCTTCTGTTTTTGCTATTTCTTAAATCCTGCAATGCCAAAGTAATGAATAGCGTATTGCTGTGGCATGAAGGCGGGAAAGAAGGATGAAAGTAGGAAAGGTAGACATGAGAAGGAGGTGGAGGAGCATGACTGAGCCCTCTTTGAAAGGGTTGGCAGAGTCAGGAAGTGATTAGGCCACTACAATAACTCCAATAAGGACAATAGGGAAAACATGTCTGCAGCCACAACCACTTAATATCAGGAACGTACACAGTATGGTTCCTATTTCATTACAAGAGCAGGACTGAGCGTGGGAGGATGGGCATGTGGAAAGAAAGTAAGGTGTTACCTACAGGGGGGGTTTCAGGCCACGGAGAAGAAAACTGAAGGTTGTTATAGCTGTCAAGCTATGGAGACATGCAGTTTGCAATGATAATGGTGGCAAATTTACCTTTTGGAATTCATACAAAGTTTTGAAACAATTGTTCATTAAGTTCATACAGAGGATGACAAAAAGCAAGCTTCTCAATGCTGACTGGCAACCTTAGATTCTGTCAGCTGAAATGACAACTGTAGCTAGCCATCATTAGCTTCACATTGTTTGAAACTCCGGTTGACTCATTCTGAAACAAGAACCCAGTGAAATGGTCATAAATATGTGGTTCCAAAAATTAAAAAGCTTAAGCTAAAGCTTAAAGTCCCAGGCAAAAAGTCATCATCCTCACCAGCTGATGGTCCATGGAAATAAAGGATCAGAACTGTTCTTATGCCGCAGGGTAGAACAGTATGATAAGGGAAAATTTCAAGATCAGAGAGTTATCTCATTCTGACATAACTCTCTTTAGATGAATAAAAACAGACGTGGGCAAGAAGCACAAAGGTTATGATTATTATGAGATTAAAGCTTTATTGTTCCTATTATTCCTATAACAGGACGGAGTCGTTAATGATATGCTGAACTCTGATATTGTAGCATCCAGCTCCCATGCAGTGTGTAAACACAATCAGAATCAGCTTTATTGGCAATGTGTACACATAGAAGGAATCTGACTCTGGTTTTAGGTTGCTCTTAATGTACTTACAGGTATGTAAGAACAGACATGCTGAGTCCATTAAGTCCATTCCTTTCATATTTGCTCTGGTCATTTTGATTTTTTCGAAAGGCTAAAAAAGCTGCAGCACCGTGTCCACAGTTGCTAAGCTAAAGCAGAGCGGTGACCGATCTTTCTGGGCCTGAGCAGAAACCTGTGCCTTTCTTTGTATAGTGAACTGCAACATCTCTTAAATCAAGACCTCTGTTAAATTACCTGGAAGACAGTTATGCAAATAAATGGCGGTAAATGATTCATGGTCTGGTAGCAGCAGTTTGCGTCTGAGGCTCTGAGTTGGCCCTCTCTCTGGCCACATCATCTCCTGGTTTCTCAACAGCCCTCCTGCTATTTTTCACAACTTTATCAGACTTCTCCATCAACAGCAGAAATTGTTAGACCAGAAAGGTGGTGGCAGCAGCTGCGTCACTGCAGGGTCAAAGGAAGTTTTGCTGGATGAAGCCCAAGCGGTGGGGAATGGGTATTGTATTGTAAGTGTGTTTTTAGACAGAGTGAGGCGAGAATCTATCTTAAACAGCCCTGAAGGTCCAAGTTGTCCAGTCTGAAATAAAATCAATCAATACATTATGTTCTGATTGTAACAGTATTTTTGTTCTCACTTTGTTTTTGTTTCTAGCATCTGAATCTGTCCTTACGCTGCTTACGCACGTACATTGTAGTACTGTGCCAGCTCACACAAACTCAATGCCAAGCACAACACGTGACCACCAGCAATGAAACAGCAAGTGATGCTCGGTTGTTCCCTACTCATCCTTGCAGTGCTGATCTGGGGGATTTACTGCTCTGTCTGTGTGTTTTCACAGGACCTCCAGGAAAGCGTGGAAGGATGGGAAGAAGAGGGGAACCTGGTAAGCGACGCCCACCACCTGCATTGTCTGTTTATTTCCCCCTTTTCTCTTTTCCTGGAAGACACTCTTTCTTCATCTATCTCTCTTGCTCCCACACTCCCTTTCTTTCCCTGGGTGACTGGATAAGTTCGAGGGCTGGTAAAAACAGTGGCCCATGAGTCTGGCCAGTGGAGGATGGGCTGCAGTTGGCTCTTCTCCCTGTCCCTCGCTATTTGCTCCGACATAGCGCTAACCTTGGCCATGTGGTTGCATTAACTTTGCCCAGATGTCAGTCGTTCTCGCTTAGCGGTAGCAGCTGCAGTAGTTCGGGCCTAATGAGACTCTCCGTTGCCAACATCACTACCCACCACTATTGTGTTGCCTTTTCTTTCCATCTAGACCACAAAACACTCATCAAGGAACCAAAACAAGGCAGAGACATGACTCTTGTTACGCAAATAGTTGTCATGACAGATAGCGGATGTTCTACAAGTTTGAGTCACGCTCATTTTAAATGGTTTTTATTAAGTGTTGACTCCACCAAATTGTGGAGCGACACTGTTAGACGATTTTATCAAAACCTGCAGGACTGAAGTTTTTCTGCAGGATATGTGTCAGATGGGAAAACTTCCAGTCTGGCTGTGATTCATTGTTGTGGATATTTGATTTAATTAGGCCTGCTCCTGTGAAGATGTTGACTAAGTGAAAGATCACCAGTAACCTTAATTGCTCTATTTAGCGCACTTTCTGAAGTTATCAAAGCAGTACAGTGTATTTGAAATTAACTTTTGCAAGCTGCTTTTTTAGCTTGTCTATTTACTTAATTTTATTTGACATAGAATATTCAACGATGAGCTGAGGCAAGTGTTTGTCACTGTAGTGCCAAAGTGTCTTTATTTTCAAGTCCCACAATCCCAACTTTGTTGTGTACCTTTGTTTTTCTATTAAAGGATAATGCTGGAGGTATTTTAGATTGTTCTTATTGTCGACAAAGCCCGTGAAAAGACAAAAATACTCTCTGGAAATGTTCTGACTTCACCAGCTTGCTTGTGGCTCTCAGTCCCAAGCCCACTGATTCTTACCGAAGATGTAAATCTTTAAATACAGTCACAAATATATAGTTCAACTTTCAGAAAGGCTCAGCAATTTACTTAAACAGCTGAGCACTGCAGTGTTTAGCAAACATTACCCAAACAGGAGTTAAAATTGGATTTTCTGGTTTCGATTATTGTTGATTGTGATTATTTACAGCAGCATGACAGTGTAGGTGGGATTGAAACTTTTTTCATGAGTTTTTGGACAACAGTGGTTGGTTTTATATGGGATTTGCTGACAATAAGAAGAATATAGAAAACCACCAGACTTCTCCTTTAAATCCCCATTTCCTCTTAATCAACATAGATTACGGAAATCCGTCTTTCAGCGATTCCATCAGGCGATCACCAGGACAAGTAAATGACTGTGTTTTTCATCAGTTTGGTATGCTTTTCCAGCCACTTGGTCTTTTGGAGGATTATCATTACGGTTCCGTTCACCCAAGATGACACTCATTAGCTGCTCGCTGTTTGTCACAGGTTGACCTGTATCTGAAATGGGTGACGTAGTTCTGTTTAGGTTTTCTCTCTTGTTGTTTACTTTTCACATTGCAGCCCGGGCTATAGTGTGGGGGTAGGGGGCACAGGGAAACTGTTGCGCCATCCTCTAGCCGTTGACTCTGGAACAACTTTACAAGACCAAAAGTGGTTTTCCCCCTTTTCTGAGAAAAACAAATGAGAGTGGAGAGAAGAAACAGAAACACAAACCTGAGTAACAGGAAAGAGGGCAGACAGAGTAGTTAAGTATACATCGCCTTGTCTCCTGCGTTGACTCTCATTATTTCTGTTTCTGTCTTTTCCTCTTCTCTTCTGTTTACTCCTCTCTTTCTCTTTCATTCCCTGTCTCTTTCTTTCTCATTAGTTTACACACTCACACACACACCTCTCAAGTTCAATGGTTAAAGCTGGTCTCACTGCGTAGCTCTCTTGCCAATGTGCATTTGTTTACCTAACTGTCTGGCCCAGGTCCTTGTCCCGGCGTCTAGACACAGCTAAATTTGATTGACTTGGTCTTCATGCCTCATAAATCCCAACACCTCTCCCCGCTTCTTTCCCCTCTCGCCCAAACCACCTTCATTTTTTTCACCCCTGTTTCTACTGTCCCTCTGTCTTGTCCCAAAAATGCACTTTTCCTTGAAACAGCAAACTTCAAGGCTCACATAGATTCTGGTCACATTAGCAGGACTTTGTATGTGTTTATATAGTAAGAAAACACCACAAATATCCCACTTTTCCCCGAAGGGAGTCTGTTTTCAGTCTGGAGTTTATGTAGATGTTTAGCATTTGTATCCATGCTGATGAGGTGTCTTGTGCCAGAACTGCAGTGGTGGCGTAGCTCCAAATTGTACCATCGACTGTAATTGTGTTATCAGCATCGTGATTGGTTTTAAATTTAGAACAGATAAATATAAACCAATCACTAATATAAAATATTTTAATGGGCAAAATGATATGTTCACTTCATAGGGGTTTGGGTGGTTTATTAGTGCCCTCGGCCTTGGACTTTTAGGAGAATGTTTTTTATAAGAATATTCCATTAAGACCCAGACCACTACGAACAAGAGGAGTCCTTTGATCATTACTGTTGTTTCTGGTTAGGCTAAGTATGAAAAACAGAATGTACTTTTTGCTGCTGAGGCTCAACATCAGAGCATTTCAATCAGATCTGAAAAGACTGCCCTGGAGAAATCTCGGAGACATCTTTTTTTGTACTTTAAAGGGACACACATTTTGCCAGCACACCCCGACCTTTCCACTGCCTGTTTGTCCTCCATCTCATACACCCATATCTTTTTAGGAAACACAGTCTTGATATGACTTCATATCCTAATGCAAAACATAACCTATTATCCAGAAGTCTGTTTATCATAACGGGTTCACCGCAAACTCCACTGGCAGCGGCTCTAATGAGCTTGTTCTGTACCTTATTTAGGTGGTTAATTAATGTCATCATCTAACAAACCGCATTGCATGTGCAGTTTTTTTGTTGCACACCATAGTTCCGAGGAATTGATTGCTGTACAAACCAGAGGTTAACATAACTCACACATGTTGCTCTTCATGTGTCACTGGAGGTTTATAGAATTTATGTTCTAATGCCGATTTCTCTTTTTCTGTTGCAGGACCTCCTGTAAGTACAATCATCTCATCCAGGTAGTATTGAAATACGTAATTGAACGCAGTAATTTCCTTTGGCATTAAACATGCAAACACACTCACATACAAATACAAATACATACGCTATACAAACTATGGTTTTCTCCCACAGCAGTAAAACATGAACCAGTCACACAGACTGTCACAGACTCACACACACATGTGCATCCACAGAGCACAGCAATAAATGGACCACCTAGGGAACCGTGGGTGTGTTCATGTGAGTGCACTTCTATTTTTGTGTGTGTGTGTGTGTGTGTGTATGTGTGTGTGATGGTTAGGGAGCGGCGACTTACTAGCAGGGAGTTATTCTCCTCTGTGGGACTATAACTCCTGTCGACACTCTCACACACGCACACACACACAGCAGATAAAACACACACCTGAACACAAAGCAAAGACATGCACTAACTGGAGACTGCTGCTGACTTCAGGTTTGAATTATTTTTCATTTAAAATTAAATGTTCTGACCAGACTGGGAAGACAGACTGTGAGCCTTTTCTGATTTTATTTTTAAATTATTTTACTAACATTTTTTTGTGGCCACATGTGACACAAATCAGACATGCAAAGGCGCAAATGCTCCGAAACACCATAACGCTAATCTGGATGTCGGGGTGGGAAACAGCGTGTCCGGCTGAAATTTTCTGGGAATGGTTTTATTGGAGAAAACTGTCGCGGATTTACTCTAAATGTGCATGAAACGATGTGTAATTTCTTTTTCCTGAACACACCCATAAAGTCAATGGGAAGGTGTGGTGATGTAACAAGTCACCTGCTACGCCACAAAGTAACAATCTGTCAGTAAATTTTGTCTGAGTCAAGCATGGCTGGGTGCTGAAATAAATCAAAAACAATGTAAATGGCAATTTGCTTTCTAACTATTGTATGCAGGTTGCTTTGAGTGTAAATGCGCAAATCGGATACGGCTCGCTTTTGACACGAGATGTAAACAGTTGCCAAAAAGATCAGATATAGCCAAAAGAAATAACTTGGAATTAACTTGGAGTCAGAAGTTGTGGTTTAAACATACTGTATGATTTTACCTTCACTCAGTGTACATTAATTCCAGCTTCGAACTCCATATAGAGTATTTTAGTTCAGAAATTCAAGTCTTTAAAGGTAAACTGTACCATGATCATGTGTATCATTTAATACTTGTCTCCTTTAGAATAAAGTGTAAAGTTCATACATATACAGCGTGTTGTGTGTAGCTGTTGATTTCTGTTCTAACCTGTCTCAATGCTTCATGCTTTAATCTCTAACCTCACCAGGGCAAGGCTGGACGGGATGGATACCCGGTAAATTTGATTTCTTATTTATCCTGTCACTCTTCAATTCACCCAATCACTTCTCTATTGTCTCTGGATTTGTTGCTTTATTAGGCCTAGGCCTTTTTCTGTTGTCTCCTTCTCTGATCTCTAATCGCTGCCTGTCTCCTTGCCTCTTCATGCAACCTTCAAAATTTTCTCTTCACCAATGATGTGTCCTGCCCCATGACTGAGAAGTGACTCAGACACAAAGACAGTTGTATATAAACACAAGCAGACACAGACGGCCCAGGGAGGTGAAATGAGACCCTAAACTTACTGACTCAAGGCAGAAAATAGTGACATAAAACATATTTCCCGCATGAAAATGAGTAAACGTGAGGAGCGGTAAAAATGAAGAGGAAATCTTGTGACGATATCATCAGTAAACATAAGGCCACACAAGAGTAAACACTACCAACGAAAATGTGAAACATTCACCCACAAGGTACAAATCATTGCCTTACGCTTTTAAATGGGATTTACCAATGTTTGAATAATACAACCATGTACATCCATAACTACTGAATTCAAAGCAGATCACTGATTTCCACCACTGAAGAAGCATAACACAAGACTGAGAGCCCCTTCTTTTGTTATCCAGAGATATAGCGGCCTCTTGTGGCCGGTCAGACTACTGACTTTCTCCACAACTGCTGAGCTGAAACAGCTCATGGCTCTCTGTTGCTCATTTGTGGTTTAGCCATCGTCAAATTCTCATCATCTAATACAGATACACCCTCAGCATGCAAGAGCTCAGGATGTATGAGCAACTGGATTCTTCAAAACTGGATGTCCGCGTGGTGTGCAGTTCACATGAAGCGTTACCATATGTAAGGGCCTGTTTGTGAGTGCGTTACATGCTCTGTGAAACACCGTGTGACCCCTGTGTCTGGTTGCCAGTGCAACATACAGCAGCCGCCCATGTTGGGTTCCACAGCGTCTTGTCAGTTGTGGCGTTATGTGCCTTTTTCTCACTGGGAATTTTGGGAAGTTCATTACCCATGGGACTTGCTCCCAGTCAGATTCCCAGTCTGCCTGGCACTGCACAGCCCTCCTGACGGGAAATGCCTGCTGCTAATTACACACAGGTGGGCCGAGCGCACGAGGAAGTGTGTGCAAAATTTGTGTTTGTTTGCCTCTGACTCTATCCATCTTCGCCGCTGTCTTCATTAGAAAAATCCCAACGTTGTCGCACATTATAGTGTTTTTAACCTTAAAACATCTGCTTAGTGAAATGATGTAATGTAATGCATTACCTTAAAGCTGCATAATCTGGCTAATCCTTCCCAGTCTAGTTAGCATAATGAGATCAGTCCTTACAGCTCTATAATGACATAGATGAAACAATATCACAAATGGAGGAGCCCTGTTTGCTAAGTGAAAGAAGCAGCTTCCTGTTATGTTGCCTGTGTGCAGGTATGATGACTATGGAAGCTGCATATATGAAGTTACAGTGAAGAAACAGTAGATTAATCACACTGGCAATTAACATGGACAGCACATTATTTCATATAGCAACAACAGAGATGATCATGTTTCAAACATTGAAGCCGTTCTTCCTGTTTGGTAGCAGTGTTTGTGTATCTGTGTCCATATGTGCAGATGTGTGTGAACTCCATCCAACCACCCATAGTTTATGTCGATCTCTGTAACAAAGGCCAGAGCTGTGGAAGTGGTCAGAGGTCTGTGTGTGTATATGCGAGCGAGCAATATGTTTTCATATCAATACCTTCTCTCATGCTCATGTTGAGAGGCATGCGCACATCGACACAAATGAGTGAAGTCAGTTTCCGGAGAGCAGCGCGGTGCTAACTGTGCTGTGCCAGTGACTTGTGCCAACAAATTTTCTTTCTTTATTTTTCCATTGTTAAAATAAACAGCTAGATCGCTTTCCAGCACTTTTCTTGCCCTTTCTCACCCGTATTATATCTCTGTCCAATTCAGGCCTTTAACCCTCAGCAGGCAGATTGACTGTACACATTAACACATCATTCGCCAGTATGAACATAGCAATTTCAGTAATTTACTTCCATTTTATGTTACTTTATACTTCTACTCCATTACAATTTAGAGGTAAATACTGTACTTTTTCTCCTCTACATTTATTTGATAACTTTAGTTATGTTGCAGATTCAGATTTATTTATGACAAAATATAATCATCAAATAAATTATGATGTATTATTATAGGTTAAGATAAGACTTTATTGATCCACGGGGGAAATTCACAAGCTACCTAGCAGTAAGTAAAGTAATTAAAATTAGACCCACGAGCTGCATCCTTAAATTGATTCTTACACATGAATGCACCAATAAACATTAAAAAAAAGGATATAGTATACCCTATTCTGATTGTTTTACTTGTAACAAAGTATTTGTACACTGTGCTATTGCTATTTTTAATACAAGTAACAACAATTGTCACATAAGCTATGTGAAGTCACGTGCACATGTTTGCCAGCGTGTCAGCGTGCATGTACTGGACTTCTTTCATGTGGCATACACATGTCTCGCAGTCGTTAGGTTCATCAGACTAATCCATGCAGCAGTCCACTTCCATGGAAGCAATGGTAATAATGATAAACAGTGTTAATGACATGCAGTTTGTGTGTATCTCAAGTATGAGTTTGTGCGTGCTGGTGTATGTTTTCTCTCCTCATGTAACCCATGTCACTTCTTCCTCTCATAAATCACAGGGGGGGGGTTGAGTTTCAGAAAAAAGCCTCCCCACTGTCAAACAATCAAAGTTAGACAGACTGACAGAACAGTGCAGGGGAGTAAACACACACCCACGTACACACCAGTTGATTCTCATTCATATGCGCAGTCACCAGCGTGCCCCACCACTAGTGTGTTTATACGAAAGTCTGTGAAAGACGCGGACCTCACTCAGCAGAAACAGGCCAAGGCCTCCATTGTTCAGCCTTCCAGGCCGCTGAGGGTGGATTAAAGCCAGACAGTCACCCAACAACATGTCAGTAATTTTCTGTCCCAAACACACAGCACTCTGGTATGCTTTATTGTGCTCTTTGGTTCAAGATGCAGCCACTTCTTTTTCAAAGAGGGAAATGTATCACAAATTATGTTCATGTAGCCCTGTCAGAGAGTGGAGTTTTGTCCCTGTGGCAACATTAAAGTAACTGGAGAGGAGGAAGGCCTGAAAAATATTCAAAAGATGGTTGGTGGATCACTGTGAGAGAGGAAAAGATATCAAAGGATGCAAGAGAAGGAAAGAAATTAGAACCAGGAGAAAGGAAATACAGGTCTCTCTCTCTCTCTCTCTCTCTCTCTCTCTCCTCATCTTCCTTAATTTTGATGTCACATAATTAAGCTCATTGTGCGTGACACATCACCATGTGTGTTTCTATCTGAGGCGTCTGCTCTGATGTGCAGACATCAAGTTTTCATGCCGCATCCTCAACAATTACACCCTACTGGATAATTGCCAGTCTGCACCGTAGGGAGTATAATAAAGACAGCAAAGACACCCGTTGCCCTGTTTCATTGGGATTAAGGCACACACATCACATGCACAAACATAGACACAGACATGTGCCCTCCTGCAGGCCAAGTTATTTTCCAGAAATGTGTTTAAAAGCCATCTAATTGGTGGGAATGCTGACTCAAACCTTTTTTTAATCTGCTGAGGGACGCTGCAGGACAAGATGGCGATGTAGACGAAAAATACACACAAAGAGCCACATACATAAAAAAGGCACTATTTCATTTTTCTCCACATTCACTTGAGGTTTTGGCGGTAATCTCAGGACTATTTTCTCACTTTTTCTCAACATTAATCTCCCAGTTTTTTTTTTCTTTTCCTCTATCCACACTCCTTCCTTTTTTATTCTGCGGCCCAATCCATTTGCGGTATGAGATGAAAAGAGTTTAGTAATGTCTTTTTTTGTCCAGCCTGCTCTATTTTTAAATGAATTCCTGCTCTTTTATTGATGCATACTTTAGGTTTGTACCACACTGGAGATACAGTATAACAATGCAGCTATACTGAAAGAAAAGCACAGAATAAATTGAGGGTCACATATCAAAATGTGTCTCCGACTCTTACTCTTATTCATATAAAACCTACTGAGTCATTTTGCCCTTGGTTACCATTAAAGGTTCCTTCTGACCTCTGTTGCTGATTTAAGTAAGGCTCATATATTTTAAAATTTCTCCTATCGGTCATAGTGGAGTTTCCTGGACTGCTGTATTGTTGGTTGAAATATTGCTCTAGATACCTATAGAAATCCTGGGTCTTGTTTAATTCCATATTGGTTACCAGTTAAATAAGAAAGGTCTTAGAGGTTACAGTATCGACTATATGCTACTGGCGTTTGCAAACTGTCAGCTGCCAGATATTACTTATTTATTGTTGAGAATAGAAGCTCTCTCCCACACACAAACAAAGAGACACACACAGAAATAGTATCTAGAGTTCACAAGCTGCTGTGTGGTTTGTTAGCAGCCATATATCAGTCTGTTTTTGCTCCGGTTCAGGCTTTGCAGCAGCCATTGACCTCACCATGTACACCTCGTCTACTCATCCTGATGAGTCTTGAAGGAGCCGGCCCCTGATAAACGCCGCCAGATGCAGAGATATCACTGCATACACACACACACACACACACACAGACATGCATAGACCCAGAGACATGGACACAGATACTCAGGGAAAACTCACTGGGACGTTTGTAAGCTCATTCAAATTCTCACACTTTGCATGCATGACATGATAAACACAGCGTGTTGCATTTAATAGAGTGGTGATACTACAGCCTGTCCTGTACTATATGTAGCATCCAGTGGAGGAAAATACAGAGCATTACATCCATACCCTTAACATTCCTCTCAACTTTAGACAGTTATAGTGAAATTATTGCCGTCCGATTGGTCCCAGTCATTTGTTCCACCTCAGTCTCAGCCTCCTACTGCTGATTTCACAAGGGGCTCTTAATCAAAAAGACATCAGGAGCCTCAAAGGCTTTTCAGCGTACTTTTTATAAATCTCTTTTATACAGAATAACCATGTACGCTTCAGAAGAAAGTTTATAGCCATGCCGTCCCATTACAAGACTAAAGAGGGGTAGCAAAAGATCCCATGAACTATTAATGAGCGCAGTTCCAAAGTATCATTCCCTTCTTCCAGCTTCTCCTCTTCCCTGCGTCCTTAGGTGCCATCAAAGCAGGCAGCGATGACAGTGTGGTAGGTTTTCACTACAGGACCTCATGCCGGATAGCACCCATGGGGCTGGTAAAGCAGGGAGATGAAGAGCAAAGTCCAACTTGTAAGCCATCCAAGGCCAGAGATGGCGATTGTTAATGATGGTTTCCAGTCTGCAGAGCCACCAGGACTGTGAAGGACCCATGGGACCCTGTAAAAACTGTTAGCTTAACATTGAGTATGGTCGTTAAGGAGGAAGTCAACATTAGCCTTTACCACATACATCACATTTAAGTATTTTTGGAAAGTTTGATCCAGGAGCCAATTGTTCCTTTATGTTTAGGGAACTAAAGGTTCGTGCCTTTGAACTGGGTGTTTTGAGTTTTTTTGCAAAGGAGGTTCAATGACTGCTCGGCTGTTTTTATTGAGGTAAACAAAGTGGACAACTCACTCCAACTGCTGTTTCAGCACTTGGGTGAGGTTGGATAGGGACTTTAAACGTACTTAACTGCCTGTTGGATTATCTCATCACCACAAACACACAAAGACATGGTAGTCAGATGTGGGGTTCTGTGGAGGACGAGCACAGCTGGACCAAATCCACTCACAGTCTATCGTGTTGGACACCACACTCTAAATCTTAGCATAATTATAAACCACAACCACCTGGAACCTTACACAGTTAAAAGGGGCAGGATATATATATAGAACATTTGTATAAAAGGTTTTTTAAAAAACAATTTCCTCCTGTTCCTACTCTCTCATCCTTAACTTTCCAATAATTGCAGCTGCTTCTCTGTCATTTACAAGCACACTTTTTTAGTCCTCATTTGATGTGTTTTTCTTGCCAAATCCACTTAAATGTTTTTTCTAAGCTAAGATCATTTACATTGTTTCCTGAGAGATACAGACTAAACTCAAACATTATAAAATACTAATAAATAACAGCTGGTTTCTGATATTTTGGAGGGGGAAAGATAGATTTGTCTGGGGATTTAAAACAAATATCTTCATCCACAGCAGATTTAGAGTAGATGTTTTTAAAAGTCAGTCATTAAAGGAATAGTTTAACATTTTTGGAAACACACTTAAAATCTGTCTATCTGCACCTCTAAAGTTGACTAATTAACACATTATATCTCGTTTGTTTACTCTGTACAACAACTGAAGTGTAAAAACAAGTTGTGGTTTTATGGGGGTTATGTGTCAGTTTCTTTGCCAGTCACAGTGAGCTGGCTCGCTCTATTTCTCTCTGTATCTTGGCAAGAAAGTGAAAAAGCATAATTCCCAAAATGGCAAACTATTCCTGTAACAGTTCTGTGTCTACATGGTTCAAAACATTAATAATTATAATTACTCTTTATCTGACTTCCAACAGGGTCCTCTTGGCTTGGATGGGAAACCAGTGAGTATTCCTGTTATCAAATGCATAACACATGCTTTATGTGACTGACAGTAGTTTAATTTTAACTCTGTTTTTCCTATTTTCAGGGTTTACAAGGTCCCCAGGGAAGCCAGGTACACCATCACACACCTGTTGTCTTGTTTTGGTTTTCTAATAACACATATCAATTACACTGAAGATTGAAGACTGTGAATTCAGGTGGGGTTTTGGCCCGAAAGACAGGTGATGGTTTCCTAAACTTCATCAATCATTTTTACTGTTCCTAAGGGAACGTCGCAAGTGAGTGAACCGCCCACGGTAGCCCTCCTGTTTCTTGTTCCACTTCTTAAGCCATCCCAGGGCCCACAGCCACGGGAGAGTCATGGCTCAACTGAACCGAGTGCTGAAATCCCCTTTGCACTTCGCCCCAGAGTCCCATCTATCACCCTTCCCCTGAAACCTCGCCATACTCCCAGACACACCCAGGTGTAGCGTGGAAACGTGTGAAGCAGAGCGAATGGGTTACACACCAGTGGGAAAGTGAGAGAGAATAGAGTTTATAACCTTCTACAGAGGCTCTTTAAAAAGTCATTATAGTACCTTCTAGCCCCACCCCACTTTTTCCCTGATCACTTTGCCCCAGGGAGGGACGACGAGTCATCTGCTGAAATGTAAACCCCTCACAGCATAACGAGAACTGTTTGACTAGCTCCTCTCCAAACACCATTAAGCTGTTGTTTCCTGCAAAAGGAGACATCAATCTGGGTCTGTCCTTTAAGAGGACTTTCCCCATCACAGAGGGTCGGCCGTAAAACCCCAGCAGGTGTGACACAGATCTCATGAGCAGAGTCACGTAAGTACACAAGAACTGTGGGGGGAGAATAACAGATAAAAGTTGGTAGAACAATAAGACTGATTTGGTGATAAATGACAGCCACAGGAGACACAAGACACAGGGTTAGCATAAAGGAATAAATTAAGAGTAAATGAACGCTAAAAAGTAAGGTCAAGGACATTGGCATAAACTAAAAAAAACATGATAATCGCACAGTTATAAAAGTTTGTGAACTATAATATAAAATAACAAAGTAATTGGAGCTTTCAGACCCATCTTGTGGCCACATAGTGGATTGATTCAGTTTTGTTAAAAAGCTCTGAACAAAAGCTGTTCTTCTTCTTCTAAAGGGGAAAAATGTAAATAGCCAAGCATTAATATAAAACCATTTTTTTACATAAGATCTTTTGCAAAAATCAACCTGCCAAAAAGACTACAGCTGTAATTAAAACAAGGATTATACTATGAGATCAAAAACTAAAACTAAACATTGTAAGAAATATAAAAATTAAAAAAGGAAAACCTCCAAACTAATGAGAACTCCTTAACATCCAATTTCCTTCAGTTTCCCCCTTTAAGTGCTTTAAGGTTTAAGGAAAGAGAATCTTAATCTTATTTATTCCCCACTGTCTGACACTGTCACATTTATGGCTGTCTATCAGCTTGTTCCAGCTTTTCATTGAAGCTATCTAAACAAAGGACTGTTTTTATGTTGGGAATGATTTGTTCCAAAGTCTTTGGTCTCTTTAGAAACGTTGGAATCCTTATAATTTGAAAATGAAGTTAGCTTGGTTTGAACAGTATTTTGTGCTGACTATCCAGCCATGGGAACAAGGAGAGGCTGAACTGTGACATGAAATAGAAAACTTAAGGCGATCAAGAAATCCCCAACGATAACTAGGCTACACACCTACAGGATTAGCAGCAGGCGCGCTGTCACTTGAATTAAACCTTCTTACTCCTCCATCTCTCCTTTCCTTGAACTGAAGGAGAGAGCAGTGCAGGAGAGAAGCTGCTCTTCCCTCTCACAGAGGGCCTGTTAGTCAGTCTGTGGTTTGTGAAGCCACTGAGACAGACTACAGGCAGATGGGGGTCGGTATTTAACGCTCAAGTACCCTACAGCATCTATATGAGATGTTCAAGTAGGCTAACTCAAATGTAGAGAGAAATCTTGTTGCAAGTCATACTGTCTTCTTACTGTGAAATATGCGTAGGACAGAAGTGACTTGTGATTGAGCAGTCTCGATGGCACATCTGCATTAAGTGGTATTATTGCCTAGCCTTACTATTTGATTGAATGCTCCCTGGTAGAGTTGAAAATGTATTGTACTATGATATATGTTGCTCATACATTTTATCTCGACCAACTGTCTCCGATTATCTCCTTCCCCAATACAGGGACCAGCCGGACCCAAGGGAGAAAAGGTATGCTTCAATATAGATTTCAGTAACCCTGCTAGACAAGTCAGCGCACTGTATGGATGTTTTTCTCACATTAATTTGCAGGCGGACAGCTCAGAAAGACACACACACACACACACACACACAACCTCACAGGTGTTCTCTCCATCGCCCTCCCACGTTCACGTTTTCACTGCACGCCCATCAAACGAGCCATACATTACATGTAGTTATGTAGGAGCTCATGTGTCTGCGCACATTCTCACGTCAAGGCACTAAACAGGTTTACAGGCCTTCCGCGGGGCTCGATGATAGCCAGATGTTTTCCCGCTCTGTGAACCTCTGCCCAGCCTAAGATGTTAGCGACCGTAAGAGCTGCAAGAGCTGGCAGAAGAGGCTCGTGCATGGGGTGATTTGTGTGTGTGTGTGTGTGTGTGTGTGTGTGTGTGTGTGTGTGTGTGTGTGTGTGCATTTATGCACTCAAGCGAAAACTGTCCAGATAAGCGCCACCACAAGAACAACTGCAGTAAACAGCATCTGTCAGAGCATGATTCAGTCTGATGAGCGGGGATGGCAAATGACAGACGATGTTGAGGTTTTGGAAAATTGGCTCCCTTCATGTAGCTAATCATGCTAGTATCTCGGTGATGAGAACACAAACTCCAAATCCTCATCAGAGAACCAACAATCCTTAGCACGTGCACTCCCACTTCTACTTAGCCCATCGTGTCCAGTCAGATGATTCCAATTATGGCCTATCAAATGATTTGTGCAGTAAATGTCGACATCCTGAGCTGATTTGAGGACAAATGACCTTTGAGTCCCTTCCTTCCTATACATATGAATTAGTTTTTAAGAATGTCTGTCACAGCTGCTCAACAGTAGCGTTATTCTCTGGCATGCCTCCTCCTGTGTGCATATACAGTGGTAATAACTGCTGACAATTGTTATTTTCCTGTTTTTCTCCCAGGGTGACCAAGGAGACGTTGGGCCAAGGGTAAGTCATGTTTTCTGTCTTTGCCTGAAAAGGGGAAAAGAGATGTTTTTGACTGTTATATGTGACATTTAGAAGCAGTTTTTTCACTTTTGCTGACCTGACTAAAAAAAAACCTTTCCTTCAATTGTGTTGGGTTCCCAAGCAGATCTTTGTCATTTAAAAATGTGCTTCCATTTAAATCTTCCTTCCAGTTTTGTCCTCTTTCTCTTGTTTTGTCTTTCTCAGTCTCTGCCAGTTTTTTATCTTCACTTCCCTTTAAGGTCAAGAGACACTTCGCTTTCCCTCCAGTCATTTTGAGAAGTGAATTTTTATTAAGCTTCATAAAAAAGGTCTATCTTTGCAGTTTGCTTTTAGATTTTATACTGACAGAACTGAAAGTAAGACAACAGGTCTTCCAGAAGGTCCTGTCACATCTAATTAATGCTGTAACAAACATTTAAGTAACGCGCACTTTTGTCTGAATTACAAAATAGCAATTAGGCCTACTTATAAGGGAAAGTTCCGCGATTTAGATAAGAAGATTGAGACCACTCTCATGTCTGTACTAAACATGAATCTATAGCCAACAGCAGCAGAGTTAATTAATCTGGCCCTGCCCATGCACAAATAAATATACATTTCTATTTCACATTTATGTGCAATTGACTTATCTGTGCACCTAAACTGAAAAGTGTCTAAGGACTACAGGCAGAAACCGAGCCTGCACAGGGAACATATGCAGCTGAGATAAACCCAGCGCAGGCAGCATAACAGACCATCACAAATTGGAGATCAAAGTCCAGGAAGAGAGGAATTGTCTTTCTTCAGAGTTTTTGAAAAACCACTAATCATTTCCTAGTTATCACACTGATACAATTATATGCACGTGCAAACAGGCAAAGGTGAAAGTTTTGTAAAGTTTTGTACTATCCATATAACCGTCAACACTAAGTCAAGTCTTTTAAATAATCCAAATGAAAAGTGTGTTTACGCTGCGCGGCTTCCCCAGCAACTGTACCAACAGCGTAGTCCGGCTCCTATGATGAGGTTTGCGTTGCCCACATCTCCAAAGGCACAGATGAGAAATGATGATATTAAAGAACGATGGAAATACTTAAACCTCACCATCAAAACCCAATGGTTGGGGCAGCGCGCCAAAGCTGCCATCTAGTCTCAACCAAACTATGTTTTGTTTTGTTTTTTTATATTACGGGGTTACCTCGCTCTGCATCTGGTCCATGTTGTCAGTGTAGTCTTTTCATGTGATATCATTCCACCCGCCATGAAATCTATGTAATTATCTCCCGTTTTATTCACTGTGGTTTGAAAATAAGCCCCCTGTGCTTTACATGGTAAATTTATCTTTGAAGAAGTCATATGCCCCGTGAATCCCGAATGTTTTTCTAGTTTTGTTATGCTTAGAATATAATATCAGGTCAAGGTAAAGTCATTCAACAGAAATCTGTAACAATTTTGATCATTGATTAACTGTTTACCTTATTTTTTTAAGCAAACATGACAAACATTAACTGGTTGCAGCTTCATAAGTGTAAATATTTTCTATTTTCTTTATATTTTATTTTCTTTATATTTTCTATTTTTTTAGATTTTGTAAACCAACAAAACTGGTCTGTCATTTGTTTTTAACTATCTATACCAGACATAACCTGCTAGCCAGTAATTTCCATATTGCCAGTGGCTTGTCTTACGAGGACCATAACACTGACTTTGAGCCACTCCAACATTCAAAAAACTCACACATGTGATATTTATAAAAACTACAAATGTTCCTCTTAAAAGGCCTAAACCCCTCTTGTAGCCACTAACTGTTTGTTTTTCTTATTATTAACATTCTTTAGTAAGAATAAGAAATAGATGTGTAGTCATATATCTTCCAAAAGTTGGAGCCTGACTTTGTAGTGTGTGTGTGTGTGTGTGTGTGTGTGTGTGTGTGTGTTTTGAAATGAGACTGAATGGCTATTGTTTTATTGCAGAGCACAAATGGAGTGTAAATTTGACAGGGCTGCCTAGCAGAACAATATTTATAATGCAGATCAGAAACATTACAGGAACCAAGGCATATGCCATTTGATTTCCCAGTATATCCCTTCAGATTTTGAGGTAATAGTTTGTGCAATAATTAAATCTTTTTGGCATTCAGCATTATGTAGTACTTCCAAATGGTAAATATTGCACTTGGATGAGGCTTCTGGAGCTTGGATGCCCTTGGATAAGTCTGCAGCTGAAAAGCCTCAGAGTGTTGCTTAGAGACACACGCTTGCTTCAAAACAAACCCTGCAGCTCCTGAAACTACTGTAGTTGTGAATGAGGTTTGGCACTGGGGTACATTTTCATAGATATGGCTAGATAGGTTAGCAAACAAAAAACTGGTGGTCTCTGAATGTTTCAAATATGTTTCAATGTGTTTTTTTACAGCTATGAATCAAAGCTAAAGCAGATAAAAGGTGGAGCAGTGGGAGTACATCATCATCACCTTGCCCTGATCTCAGCATTTCACACTGACCTCTGAACTCTATGAGAGGATGAGAGAATACATGTGAAAACAGGAAATGGCCATGGCCATGAATCTCTCTCCAAAATGTAACTTCCTGTCAATCCATCAGTGTCAGTGCATTTTGTCAGGCTGAACCTGGTGCCAGAACAGATTGCAAACAAAGGATAACAGGGGTATTAAAACACAATCAGATGTTATAGAACCACCAAAACATGTGATTGAGGGTCATGTATAGTGTTGCATCTTTCTCCAAAGCAATTTTTATTGAAAGACATAAACCTGGTAGCCATTTTTCCCAGCTTCCATACTGTCAAATCCACTGTATAAATCGTTGTCAAGACAAGCCACGATGGGAGTTTCATCCCCAGCCAAAGCCTCCTCTTGCTTCCCCCAGAGCAGCTACAAAAAGGCCACGGTTAGATGGGGCTCGGAGATTGAATGGCTGTTTGTCTTAGCATCTGCCTATGGTCTGATGAGAATGGGGAAACAGCCTGTTCTCTTATGAGATGTTTAAGCACCATTATGTGTATGTGGTCTCCATGGTGGGAACGGTGTGAATGAGTGAATGTGACAGTGAGAGTGTATAGGCAAAGAGAGGAGGAGGGATCTGTGGTGTTGGAAAACCCTCAGCTATCCAGCGCTCACCGCAGCCTGTTAACGGAAACCTCATGAGCAGGCTAGCATCTCTCCTTTTTTCTCTACCTACTATCCCCCTGCTGTTCTTCCTCCCTCCTCTCTCAGATCTTCTCTCCGTCCTTCCCTCCCTCCCATGTGTTTTTGGAGGGTACTCAACCAGAGATGCAGTGCGGTGCTCCGAGCTCTCTGGCGGCAGACAAACTCTGCTCCTTTCAGCTTGACAGACAATCATCACAATTGCCGTCTGTCGACTGGAAAGAGCCCAGCCACCTCTGTTTGGTTTGGTCGCAAAGGGAAGGATGGGAAGACATTAAATGGAACACACACAATTAAATACATGTTTGAGTGAGAGACCCAGGATAAATTCTGAAACGGCAAAAGGGACTGTTACTGAGTCATGGTTTTGATTTAGCAATATTTCTCAGTTTTAATGAAAAGTATGTCTCACTATTTGCAGATGATGTATTTTTGTTCTTCTCACTTAATCTGCAGAATTTTGTTAAGCGTTTTTCTTGAGCAACAGTAAGTTGCTTACCTTTCCCTTTGTCACTTCCTTTCTTCAGGGTCCTAACTACAGCACATACGCAGGTCTGCACAGTAATCAGATTCTCACCGTCAAGGTTTGTCCCTCCAAGCGAACCGTTCCCCACAGTCACCGCCCTCTGTTTGGCTGCTGATCTGTCACTACCCCTGCCGATGGAGGAGCAAATCACTCTTTTTGAGCTTTCTATTTTGGCTTACAGCTTCAGAGGCTGCTGAACTCTCATCTCTGTTTTTTCCCACAGCAGTTATTTCCCTCTTTGTTGGACTCTCACCTGCACTCCCTCAGATAACTTCAGATTTCTGATTTATTTTAGTCATTTATCAATTTCTCTTTTCCCTCTCTTTTGTCCTGCAACACACTTCATGTCCTCTCTCCTCTTATGTTCTTTTCCTGCTGCACCTCTTCCATCTCAGATGGTCTTCCCCCGATATGACCATAGCTTTCTCTCTGGAGAGCAGTCCAGCAGCTTTCAGAGACGCTTTCTGAAGGTAGACCACAGCTAAGTCATGTGTGCACTTTTAACACTTTAACCTCGCTTTTTCATGTTCTGATCATTCATGCATGTCCCTTCTTTCTCACCATTCTCACCTTTCACAGTCATGTTGCATAGAATTGATTTCATATTTGATCATTAATTCTCCTGTCTGTGCTGACTTGTTGAATGACTGATTAGGTGAAATTGTTTGTATAAAAGTTATAAAGCATCCTAAAAGGAAAACATGAACCACACACATTTCAGAGAGGTTCGAGAAATGTGTGCTTCTCATTACAAGAGTGGAATAACTTTGTTGGTGACAGTTTAGTTCAAGTCTGAGCTTAATAGAGACATAATAATTATCATTGCAACGCAAGGAAATAAGGTTTTAGTCTTCTATTTAAAGGTCTTTGTAACATTATTTCCATGAAAGGACTTGCTGTACCATGTTTCTTGCCACTTCAAAGAAAACCATAATGCACCACATGTCTGTAGAGATGAGAGGATGCAGAGGAAGTGTCACCATGTGACAGTGGTGAGCAAAACTTTTAGGGCGTTAATGGTTTCAGTTTGGCATAAACATGAGGGTGGAAGTCATCAAAAAAGAAACATGTCCCCAGTTTTATGTAAATCCTCTGATGAAAGGATATTTAATAGGTGGTAACAGTTCCATTTCTGTTTTTGTGAAGCATAAACAGAAAAGAAACACCTCATTCAACAGATGATGTTGTCAATTAACAACTTCTCGTGTGTGAGAGTGCAATAGTCAGCATGGGTGTGTTTCACTTTGTAACTAAGTATGACTGATGATCAGTATGACTAACCTACTACTAGGTTAGCACTACTGCTAACCTGCCTACTAAGCTACATGCTAATGGTGGAAAAGTTTAATAAGGATTTTGAATTATGCAGAAAGGCCTACATGGTTCGTTTTGTAGATTGTATTAAAGATATTTAAAGCAGCTATAGTTAATATTTTTTAGAATGACAATAAATCAGATGGCTACTTGTATGTGAAAGGATCAGCTGACTCTGCTGTCTCATCAGCTTTTCTTTTAGCTCATTGTTGTGGTTTTCTCACAACTGTTTGGATTGACTCACCACTCCCATGGCGTTGTTTTCGTCTGTTTCAGGAGTGCGGCACTGTGCGCCCAGCACAAAACAACTGATAGACAAAGTTAGCAACTAGATGGTGGAGCATTAGAAGCTGAAGAGCAGATATTTCACTCTACAGTTAGTGGAGACCAAAAACAGAGCTAAACGGATAGTGAATATTGGACTTGGCTGGACGAACATGACTCTATATGAATGCTAATGTTGCTCCTTATCTGCTGGATGTGTAAATAGGCAACTGTTTGCTATAAAAGCTGAATAAAAGGGATGATATTTCAGTGATTGCGACTTGTTTCAGTGTCCCCCAAGTAGACAAAAAATATATTTCTGCACGTTTCAGGAACATTTTGCTAAATCTGAGAGTGAATCTGTCGCATGTGTTGACCAAAGAGGTTTAGGCCTGATTCTGACTATGACAATTCTGATTGGTTTAAGAAATCTAGACAACCTGCAAGATTTTTTCCCCACCTATTGTAAGATGGAATGGGTTTCTTTCACTTTTACACATTCAGCCAAACATAGGCTATCTGTTGACAGAAAATAGGCAATCCAAGTCTAATAACTGTTAACAGTGATTTTCCATGGCTAAAAATACCTATTTTTCTTGTATTTCTTTCACTCATTTTTCTGTTTGTTTGTTGTTGTTTTTTCCAATCAGGGTGACCAAGGCCAAGCTGGACCTGCTGGTCCTCCCGGTCCCCCAGGTCCTCCTGGTCCCCGAGGCCCCCCTGGGAACACAGGCAAGGACGGGCCTCGTGGCCCTGCTGGAGAGCCGGTAGGAACTTCTCCTCATGTGTGTCAGTGCCAAATGTACACCTATTACACAAAACAATGCAACAATACACACTCACAACCTCCATTTAACTGCTGTTATTCTCCTATATTGTGCTCCCACTTTTTCTTCACTCTCTTACTAAGGTAACACCACAAAAAAGGCAGCCACTTACACCACCTCATCATCAAGGGCTGCTGTTACCCCAATTGTGTTGAACTGGTACGGTTCAACCGCAGGGTGTGACAGAATGCAATTGTTAGTTTCTGTGTGTGTGAGTATGCTTAGTGTGAATGTGCATTTATACACATGTATTAAAGGGGAAAGGGTCTATGCAGTAAATTGCAGTGAACCCATATTCTCATTCTTCCGGGTTTGCCAGTGAGCTGTGGCTTACCTAAAATCTCCCAGAATAGCAACTCTACTCCTGGCTTCATCTGTTTTGTGTAAGACAGCAGCCACAAAATTCTCCAACACGCCCCCATTCTCCCACCCTCTTACCATGACTGTGTCACTGTGCACCCCTGTAACAGATATGGCACTGTGGCGAGTACATGGGCAGTTTGCCGACCTCACCAAACAATAGTTGTGCTCCTCGCCTGAGGCAGTTTGTATTACTCAAAATTTACTTTCTGCTCCCCAGAATTTAGTTCACATGCAGTGAAAGTTTAAAGTTGTGGTTATAGGATGGAGAGAAAGAGGCTATGAAGGTATTTTTTGGTTATCCAAGTGAAGGAATGAATGCTCTGTTACCCTCAACTGGCACAGGACAGCAAAGGGATTCAAGTGAAAAATGTTGGTTTCAGTGTGGGTGAGTTGAGAGCTTACGAAGAACCGACAAGAGAGAAAGCCAGCAGAGCTCAGAAAACGACTAAAACGGGTCGAGCAGATGGGACCCATCCCATAACCTAGCTGATTTCAGATGTATTCTTCCTGTTGATTAAAGGCGTTGCGAAACCCAAAACAGCAAAACAACGCAGAGTGGCGCTAAGCTAGTGCCCACAACATGTAACTAAGAGCAGCTACATGTTGTGGGCAGATGTCTTAGCTGGCTGAGCAGGAAAAGTGAACAAGCCTGCCAGTGTGGGTGTCCCTTGTCATTTGTATCTGTAAAGTGGAAAGTAAAGGAATGACAGCTGAGACAATGTGGCAGCTAATTTCTGACTGATACGTGGGGAATTAGTATTTGACATTTGCTTTATTTTAAATATATAAGTTTAGGATGTTATTATACAAGGAAATTTAGAATAGCATCTGAACAGGTCTTTTCTGCACTCAGGATAAAAGTAGTGCTTAAAAGTATGTGCAAGGGCAATTTGTTTCCCATTGCTGTGAAGGGAAGATCAAAAGATGAGGAGGAGGTAAGAGGGGTGAGAAAATAGGTTAAAAGGCTGCTGGAGCAGCTGAGGATGGAAATAAAAGAGGACCACATAGCAGTAGAAGAGATCAGGAAGACAGTTTGTATGTTCTGGCAGAGGGCAAGTGGAGGTAAACCAGCTGGGAAACATCTTAGTAGCTCTTCTGCACATTATTGTAAAATATGAGGACAGAGCGGAAGGCTGATAACCTCCACTTTATTATTATGCATTTATTACAGTGCACTGGGTGATCAAGTAAATACAACAACTTGATAGCAGAGTATTTGTTTGTGTGTGTGCGTGTGTGTGTGTGTGTGTGTGTGTGTGTGTAAGAGAGAGAGAGTGAGAGAGATAGAGGGTTCTTGCACAAGATCCCACTAAGCTGTCTCTGCCATGGATGACTTAAAAGCAGATGTATAGCTGCCCAAAGTACATGTCCACCTAGCCCTGACAAACAGCCACAGTACATCTGTTTACTTAAATAAATTCATGAAAGTGCTTCAATGAGCCCTCCTTCCATGTAGAAGCATCTGTATCTGCATCTGGTTCTTCTTTGGTCACGCGTCTAGATGGGCTGGGTCGTGATGGGGCAGAGGATAAGCCAAATGCCTTTGGTGTGGGAGACCTGGGTTGGATTCCTGCTACAACACATTCACAAATGTGTCCCTGAACAAGACACTTAACAAGAGTCCACACTTGGCAAGACCCTAGTTGCTCCAGAGGCATGCGACTTTTTATATACATAGCAATTGAATGTCACTTTGGATAAAAGCGCCAGCTTATTTATTTATTTATTTGTTGTTGTTGTTTTTATTAATGTCTTGCATCCATTTCATGGACTTGAGGCTGCAATGAGGATTTGATTATTTAATGGATAATGTCCTCCTTAAAATGTGAGCGGTGCTAAGGAGGACGATCTTCTGGGTTTCCTGTATCTTAATGTTACCGGGGATTTTGTTGGTGTTTTACATCCCTTTCTTTACCAGACCAAGAGGACCTATTAATACTGGAATTGTTGTGGTCTTCATCCCCCACATTCTTTCAATTTCTATCTCCAGATCTTTATATTTGGAGAGTTTTTCTGTGATCTTCAGGGAGGTGTTTGTTTCAGTGGGGACAGACATGTCGATGAGCAGACAAGTTCTCTCCTTCTTGTGCTATGTCGGGTCTGTTGGCCTTGTTTTCTTTATCAGTCTGAATTGGTATGTCCCAGATTATAGTAGCTTCATCATTGTCTAGTGGCTCATGCTCATAGTATTTGTCCTTTACTTTGATGCTGTAGCGCTTACAGATTGCCCAATGGAGGTGTGCTGTTATTATTATAGTAGTAGTATTGTTGTTGCTGTTGTTGTTATTACTTCAACTCAGAGTAAGTAAGTAAGTAAGTAGTAAGTGCTTGATAAACTCAAGTCCATGGACTCATCATTCCTTTTTGAACACTGACATCTAGTGGCCAAAGTGGTTTAACTCTTTGAAGCAGTCACATACCTGACTATGTAATGCCTGAGGATGTTAACTGGCTCCAAGTAAATTTTAGAATTGTTTTAAAAATTTTAGGCTAATGCTTGTTTTTGAGGCCCTGCATGGTCTTGCATCTCAATATCTCCCTGACATGCTTGTGAGCTATCCGGCTGTCTGGTTATTCCCGGGTCTCCACGAAAAATGGTGAAACTGCCTTTAGCTTTTCTGCTTCAAGCCACTGTAACTTGCTACCGAATCATGTTAGGTGTACCCCAAGTCTATTGTCTTTTTTAAACTTTGTTTGTTTGTTTTTGTGGCTTCAACTTCCACCTGGAACAAAACGTAGTATATAAATAAAGTTTTGCTTGCTTGCTTACCTGAAGTTAGAGACCTTAACTTTAAGTTTCTCCACTGTTCTTTTCAGGGTTTTCCAGGTCGCGATGGCGCTGAGGTGAGTGTCAAATCCAGTGTACAACTCAAGCTATCTGATTGTGGAGGTCTGTAAGTCTGTGGTGATGATTTGTCTTATAATTATCTTAACCAAATACATTTCTGCCTCAGGGGCCTCAAGGATTACCTGGGAAGCCGGTAAGGCCATTAATAGATTGCTGACCTTGACTCAACTTAATTAAATTACTTTGTGTTTTCCTCAAACATCTTGACTGTCTTGTCAAATTCTGCTGTCTGCAGCAGAAGTAATGTGACCAAAAGTCTGCATTTTTGACACTGTTTGACTGTTGTGCACTGACAGGGAGAAAATGGTGAGCCTGGATATGCAGGACCACAGGGTCCTCCGGGAGCAAAGGTACAGATAAGATATACTCATCTTGCATGCAGATTATTCTAGATTAATCTGTCTTTTCATGCATTGACCATGAAATGTTACTGTGTATTGAAACAGGGTGAACCAGGTATGGGTGAAAAAGGAGAGAGAGGCATGGATGGACTCCCAGGATTAAAGGTAGAAGACCAATCTGAAATTTTTTCTATGGTATATAAAAAATGTTAAATATCTATTGTCTGACCATACTATGTCATATCTGTGCATGACACAGGGAGACAAAGGAGAAATAGGAGAGCAAGGACCACAGGGACACATGGTATTTGTATAACCTAAACCCTTATAGTTATAGTATATAGTATATAGTAAACACTTGTATTATGGCTATCTTTGATCATTTCTGTATTTCTTAATATCTGCTTCAGGGTTATCCTGGTGAAAAAGGCGCTACAGGCTCCTCAGACATTATTGACTTCAATGGGAAGCTTCTAGATGCTTTCCAGGTGAGTGTTATTAAATTGTCAATAAGACAAAATGTATAACATGTATTATATATCCCATAAGGCATTTCTTACTAAACCTCAAAATAGGCATCAGGCAAAACTTAAACAAGTCCATAAACGGTAGCATGGTAAGATACACATCTGAATATTTTCTTTTCTGAGAACCGCAAAACTGAACATGTTGCCATTTCTTTTCGACAGGCCATCAACACCATCAGTGTTTCGGTAATCTGCTGTTGTTTCTGCATGGTTTTGGTGGAGTGATCAGTAACTAACACCTATAATAATGCACAGACTCACGCAGGCTTGCATAAGCACACACCATGTGTGTATCCACACCTTATCCCACCTGCTTCAGACAGAATATCTGTGTGTTTTTATAGATGCCCTCTTTCCAGAACAACCTACTTCAGATTTATTTGATGTCGCTCTATAGAGGCCACATCTAAACATTCTTACTGAAAGTCCCCGGTTTACTAGTGTGCCCTCTTGTGTATTCATTTAGAATAAATGCAGTACCCCAGTAAATATAGTACAGCTGTGCTGTTCTATCAGATAACATGTAGCCTAAAGAAGCATGCTTAATCATGCAGAAAAATCAACAGCCTTTGATACATTGTACATTGAGTGTATTTTCATGCGATGCATCCAATGCGCCTCATAAGATAAATGGCTGTAACATGCTACAGGGCAGCATGGTGTTTTTTCTCAATGTATTATGTGTTGCTCCATAAAACTCAGTGAGTGCACAAAGGGAATGCATTAAACAGGATGGGAGGGGAACCCCTAATGGTCACCACAGTCTCAGTTTCATACAAGACCCTGTGATTCTACCACGTGCCGTGCTATATGCTAATAACAGATGGCTATCTCTGCGGTGGAGTGTGTATTTGATTAAAAACCACTATGCACCAGGTCCCCTCGGACCTGATATGAAAAGGGCTCCTGCAAGCAACGCTGTAGACAGCAGAGTGAGATTACAAAGGAAGTGGATATGGACCTGAGATCTTATCAGAAGCCTCTTGCTGACATGGATCAGTTAGCACCAAATCACATGCAAGGTCTCAGCTAGAGTTAGATAGAGCATAGCGGGGAGTGCACGTTGGCCACCCAGCTTGCGTTATAGTCCATTCACTTGTTTGTGTGAAAAGCCGTATTGGTTTCATCTGGGGTGAAATTTTAGGTGATGATGAATTTGGTTTGAAACCATGCTGAAATTGGTCGCTTGTTACTATCATCCATTTATGCCTTTTTGTATAATTATTTGCACGGGTAGCCTTCACTTTCCAATGATGGAATATCTCAGATGAAACAGTTGTTTGTAAACATCTATTGATTTCCATGGCTTAAATAGAAGACAAATGAAAAGTTAGAAATTAGAAAAAGGGATCAGAATCAGCATGGACACCTCTGGGAGGCAACATGGGTTCCTTTTTTATGACTTCAAGATGGCCGAGGACTTCAGAGGGAAAGGTAACAAGTGTAACATTGTGGACGTAGATAGAAGATGGCATGGGATGGATATGGTATGCTATTCTTCATCCATCATTAGTGTTACATAAAGGCACATAAAGGTTTTGTTTCTCCTCCTTTTGTGCAACATCCTCATGCTATATCAAAACAATCAACAGAATGGAAAATGATGCCAGGCTATTGTGCAGCATAAACCACTTTCAGCGCTGTTTTATGATCTTTGTAAGATGAAATTGCTTCAAGTTGTCTGTGATCAGTTAACAGAGCGAACAAAATAAGCCATCAGCTTTGTTTACTGTCAGGCTTGCGTTGTGAAATCCATCAGCCTTGTTGTATTGTTTTGTGTTGGCCCATGATCAAGCCTTATTGTGGAATTCTGTGAGTTCCCAGTTTTTACACCATTGCGATAAACTCAGTAAACAAACAGAGGCATATGGTATAAATACAATATGTCTTTGTGACTGTCTGTAAATGATAGATTAATTTATTAAAGCAGCTACAATCAGTGTTTTTATACTAACAATGGATCACATGACTTAAAGAGTTGTTCATATTGACAAACCACTGGAGAATTACCTCTGCACTTCCCTTCAGCTCTATTGAGCTTTACAGTGACTTTCGGGTCTTTTGCTTACCATCCTGTAACTTTACCGCTTAAGTTCACCCTCATCAGCAATTTTATTTGGCCACATCAGAGTAGCCATTTTCTGCACAAAAAACTGTAAAAACCCACCGTGCGCTACCAGCCCAACACCAAACGGCAGACAGACAAAGCAAGCAACTAGCTGGTGAACATAGTGGAGCATTTAGCAGATATTTCCCTCAGGAGTAACTAAAACCAGAGTAAATATTGTACAGTCATTCATCAGGTGGACACAAAGACGACTCCAAACAAATTCACAGGTTATCATATCAAGGGAGATGTTTTGGTGGTGATGCTTGTTTCCACTGCCCCCAAGTGGCCAAAAGATCAGTTACTGCAGTTGTAAAATGGATACCTTTTAATTCAGTGCAAGATTTGAAATATAAAGATTACTCTCTGTCTGTCTGTCTGTCTGTCTTTCTCCAGGGCCCACCTGGACCACCTGGACCCCCAGGCCCAATGGGGGAAAAGGTATGGGGCTCTGTCATCCTACCAATGTACTGCCATCAGCTTGTAATGGGGTCTAATGAAAATTGGAGTCAGTTTTGTGTTAAAACCTGAGTTTGTGCAGTGTTAGAGCCAGTCATTTCATCAAGTGAATATTTCATCTTCAGGGTGAGCTTGGTTTGCCTGGACCAGCAGGAGTTGATGGGGAGAAGGTATGATTGCAAAGACGCAGAAATCACACACACAAGCTGATTAAATGTCTTATACTATTGTTTAAGCTTCTTTATATATATATGGTAGTTTCGGAGTTTAGTTTTTTTCCCCACCACTCCTGATAATGCTGAATGTGACATCTCTTCTGGATTCTTTGCCTCCAGGGACCTAAAGGTGACATTGGTGAGACAGGACCACCTGGCGAGAGAGGAGAGAAGGGAGAAATGGGGCTCTCTGGGCCTGCTGTAAGTAGTAGCAGTAAACATGTTTCTCTGATAAACATACATTGCATGACAGCTGGAAGTTTATCTCGCTCTTTGTGCGTCAGGGTATGGACGGACAGAAAGGAGAGAAAGGCGACTGCAGAATGGATGACAACCTGGTTAGTGTAACACACACACATCAGTGTATGAATGTGGGTAAATGTAATGTAAAGCACTTTGTGTTCATAAGAGTAGAAAGGAGCTTTACAAGTACAGACCATTTACTTTGTGGTTGAGAAAAACACAAGTATGGTTCTTTAACCAGTCAATCATCTGTGGGTATGATACATGTTAAATGTATCTCCACTAAGCTTTTCATTTCAATGGTGCTCAGGTTCAGATGATTTCCCAGCCAGGCCCACCTGGCCCGCCTGGTCCACCAGGGGTTCCTGGGTCCCCTGGATCCACGGTGAGTACTTATGTCACTCTCCAGATCCAGGTAGAAACTACTCAGTTCAAGTCTGTTGTTTGCACTGGTAGCTGTCACACTCACAGTACACACTGTTTCTCAGGGGCTGCACGGGATGCCTGGTCCTAAGGTAAGACTGCAAGACCATGCGTCTGATAGGTGGTGGAGGCTATGCCATGTTGTTTGGTACTCAGTGTTTCTGTCTTCTAATGCAGGGTGAGCCTGGATTCGGGATGAAGGGAGAGAAGGGGGACGTTGGTGCTCCTGGACTCAAAGTAAGTGACACTGACCCATTATTATCACAATAAAACTTGATGTACCTGGACATCAGTGGTGATGATGTACTTCAATTTCAGGGATTAGTCGGCCCCCAGGGCATACCTGGGTCTGCAGGGTTAGTGGGTCTTCCAGGTGCAAAGGGAGAAAAAGTAAGCCCACGATCACCTCCATAAATGTGTTCACTAAATCTCTTTTTTGATTGTGTGTATGCATTATGATTTATATGTGTGTTCACAGGGCAGACCAGGGGAGCCTGGGCTAGATGTAAGTTTCACACTAAGAATTTAGATCTTGAAATCATCCATCAGATCATTTTAAATGTAATTGAACTTTTTTTTAACCTGTATCCAGTGATAAGGGACCTGCTGACCTGTTTGTGCTTCTATGTGCAGGGTTTCCCAGGTCTGATGGGAGACAAAGGTGACCGAGGGGAAAGAGGAGAGAAAGTTAGTACAGCACACATTAAGAAATACTGATTTATCTTCATCAAAATACAACCAATTCAATATTTGTTTCTCAGGGTTATTGCATCTTGTTCAATGTTTCCTATATCCTGAATCCCTTAATGGCAACACCAAAGCTCAGTTTGACCTTTCCAGGCATGTAGCTATTCTTAATGACACAAAATGGTTTTGCTTCATGTCCAGGGTGACAGGGGAGCAGTGGGAAAGAGGGGTCTAAAGGGCCAGAAAGGGGAGCAGGGTCCTCCAGGCCTGGACCAGCCTTGTCCTGTGGTATGTTGCGTCCACACATAACACACACACACACACACACACACACACACACACACACTGTAATACCACTCTTTTGAACTGCTTTTCTTACTACAACTCTCCTCTGACCTTTTAGACATACTATATTTACCTGTTTTCTTCTCCCAGCACAGTTTCTGTCATTTTCTCTGTTTTTCTTCCTCAATGCTGTGAATGTGTAACTGGTTCTTGCTGACAGGGATGTGGTGAGATTAAAGGTCTGTCTGAGAAGGCGGGGCTTTCTTCCCCTTCACTTGCTCCTCTTCCTCCTTCCGGCCCTGAGGCCCCCTGTCCTGTGGTACAGTATCTCTTCCTCCTTCCTCCTTCCTCCTCCCCTTGCATCCCTATCTATGCATGTTGCTATTTTCTATTCAAATACCAAAGACGACTTTTTCATCTCCCAGATAATGCACATGCTCACCATACCATACTTTATGTACGTCTAGTTCAGTATTCACTGTAAAGAGAGGCATTCACAGATAATCAATAAAATATATCAATCAAAAATCATCATCATCATCAATAAAACAAACTAACATATTGCTTATAATCTGGAAACAAAGATACAGAAGATACCAGGTTACAAAAACTTGGCTGGCAAAAAATGCAGGTGTGCTATAAAATGCAGATGTTTTTGGCATTTACAGTATTCCCACAAATAGACAAACAACTGACTGCCACCATGAAGGAATAGTTTGACGTTTTTTTTATTTCTGGTGTAGAGTTAGATGACAGGCTCAATAACACTTTCATATTTGCCCATTAAATATGAAGCTATACAGCCAACCTGTTAGCTTAACTTTGCACAAAGACTGATAACAGGGTTAAACAGCTGGCCCGGCTCTGTCCGATGGTTAAAATAAATCCCACTACCAGCATCTCTAATCACTAATTGACATGCTATACTGTGTTTGTATTTGTTTTTCGGTTTATGTGAGGATTTAGCAAATTAGATATTGTTTAGGAGCCAGACCAGCTGTTTCTTACTGTTTCTGGTCTTTATGCTAAGCTGAATTAACCGTCTGCTGGCTTTAGCCTTTGATTTAACAGACAGATACGAGAGTGGTATAAATCAATCTCATCTAAATCCCTGCCAGAGAGCTAATAAGGCGTTTGCTGATAAGGAGTGCACGCCTCAGATGTTGTTACTGTAAAGTGCTTAAGCATGCATCACATGACATTTTCTGGTCTGTTAACTTTCCACTGCTGTCCTCTCTCTGCAGGGACATGATGGGCTTCCCATACCAGGCTGCTGGCATAAGGTGAGCGTTAAGAGGTCTTAACATATATTCTTCCAAAAGCATATTGTTAACTAATGAAGTGATCAGCACTTGCTTATGAGACAGCCGCTGGCACAGTCAGGGAATAGTAAAAAGCGGACACTATAATCAAAGCATACACTGAGATTATTACTCATGTATTGTCAGCATTCAATTCATTGCTTGACTCTGATTTAATACAGGGGCATTTTGTAAGTATATAACAGTGTGTGAGGTTTTAATTGTAAAGCATGTGTAGGCCTATTTAAAGTCACAATATGAAGGGCTTGTGTTTTAATTTGCTATTTGCTGATATGCTACTAATGATAAATCCCTACTGTTCTTCTTTTGCAGTGATGACTAACCAGCAGCATGGAATCTGTACATATTGTTATGGTATATATTGGAATTGAATACTACACCAACAACCCGCTCCCTTGTTTTCCCGTTTTTTTTTTCATAAAACGTTTTATATAATATATTGAATTTTTTTTAACAAGGACATTTTTGATTTCTGCAGTATTATGAACACTTTTTTAAACTCTAGAGAGCCAGTGTTTTGTTTTGTTTTTGAATGGAGCCACGGTTTTAAAGAGAAGAAACTGAACTGGCAGTGGGGCTCTTACTTTGAAGGACATTCCATATGAAGAAGTGTTGGAGTGCCTTGACAGTCTAGCTGCCTTACTAACAAAGTCTGACTTGCTGCCTGATGGTAATCATGGATGCTGTATGGATATGACAGTGTGTGTACTCACCCAGTCTCACGGATGGATGGGTGGATGCTTGGCTTGATGGACAGATCTCTTGGCTGTGGCAAATGGAGGAGTGTGGGTCAGTACTCTCTTCTCTCTCTTTCTGTTTTCGAAAAGGAGGAAATGGCAAGACAGAAGCTTAAACGCAAGCGTCTCTCTCAGCCCTGAAGGGGTGCGGGGTGCGGTGGAGAACAGACATGCAGACAAGCAGAGAGCACCAGGGGCAGATTGGCCTTAACGAAGCATAGGCGAGTCATGTGATGCCCCAGTGTCATACTGAACACTCAAATCCTCCAAAATGGAAACTCTCCAGGAGGGGGCAACGGAGAACACTGCATTTCCACATTTACCGGAGAAGAAAAGACACACCTGCGGCTGATGATGTTGCGCAAAAGTTTGATAACCAGTGGAAGTTATTTGGGAGTCACTGACGTCACTGGCACATAAGGAAAGGTTAACTGCATTGAACATGTTGTGGTGATCTCTTGTATGGCTCTTTTGTAAAAGGTTTTCACTAATTAAATGCATGATCATAACAAGGCATGGTGTTGTTTAGCATCCTGACAGCTTGTCTGATTTGTGGTCCCTCATTGAAACCTCAAACGACATTAGATTCGTTTTCATTGGCAATAAGCAGCATTTAATAATCTTTCCATTTGAACAAGCTCACTCAGTCAGTAAGTCAACCTTTTTTATGACTTACACTTGTGTGTTTGTTTTATTATGTTATATTCTTACCTATTTCTGTCCAGTTCCATTTTGCATTCCGGTGCATTGCCATGTCTGTGAAAAATATAGATTGTGAAACTTCAAGGCCAGATTTGAAGGAACCATTTACAGTATTCATGATAAACCAGTGTTTCCTTGACGAATGATTGCCAATCAAATAATTTCCCTAATAATTTTAAGTGCAACTGATGCATTATGAATGATCATTATTTTCTTTTAATCGCTGATGAAGACATATTTAATCATTGTTGCCATTTTTTCTGGACAACAGTGTAAGTTCTTGCTGCTGACTTAAATGTGTGTTGTTTGTTTGATATTTTTGAATCAATATTAGTCATTTGGACTGAAGGACTAACAGACTTAAGTATGAAATTTTAATCAAATGTATGCACAACCATTGTTTTGGGGGGTATTTATGCTTTTTTTATGCAGCAATACACCTTAGCACAATGGTTTACAACTGTCATTTATTTTGGATTTTGTGTGTTGTTTCAATTATCACAAAATGTTTTAGTCTTTGCTATCTGATGACTTTTATTGGTTTGTTTTTGGTCTTTGTAATACATTTTTCTCAGACGGAATCATTTCTTGGTGCTTAAATATTTCTATATACCTGTTTAAAGCTCAACTCTGCATATTCATATGCAAAACCACACACATGTCCACAAATACACATGCATTATTGCTTAAAGAAATGTTGAACATACAGGGAAAAAACAAGTTTTACTTGGGTTTGCTGGGTTACTATTTTCAAATATTTGGCCGCATGTATACAGGACAGAGATTACACACGAGTGGAGTGGACATCTCTACGTGTCTTAATTGCCGTTTTTGATACAATATGAATAACATTAAGCAAATATCTTTTTTTAAGGCAGAATACATATTCAGGTTAATTTATAACATGTTCATTGTTAGCCTGAATATGAATAATCATGTTTTATTGGTTGATTATCTTCAGTCACCACCAACAACAATACAGGCTACTAAACTAATTCAATTTCATTTCTAATTCAAATTCTTGCCCACTATTATTGCAACATTTGAACATTTCAAACAGGGTCAGTATTAACGTTTTGATTGACACAAACGGACATGTGGTTTGTGAAAAAGTGAAAATGGTATTTGCTTTTCCACTTCTGTAATTAGTTCAAACAGTGAAAACACACAGTCCATTGGTAATGCTGACTTACTTCTTTGTAATTACAAATATCCACTATACACATTATGTTACACTAGTCATGATGTAGGCTTCATATCCCTTCAGGGGAAATTCCTATTTTGGTCTGAAATGATGAAATGTAACATAACATCTTATCAGCTTTATTTTTGAAAAGATCATTTTACAGTAAGAGCCAAAGTTCAACAACTGACTTCACACAAAACTATTTTCATATAAACAGGATAAATATGATGTCACGTCCCGCTAAATGTTTTAACTTTGGATGGGTTTTGTAAAAAAGATCCGTGCTTCCCATGTTAAACCTATACTGCACTACTCATTTATGAAGTCAAAAGTATTTCAGCAACATTTTCTATAAAACAAAAATCTGTTTAACAGTCGCATATCATTAAGCTAAAATAGAATAGCTGAGTGTACTGAAAGCTGGATGGTTCAACTGTAAACCACACAATTCTTAGCATTATTTCACTGGAGGCTGATGGTTATCTGTCACTTAACATTATCATATGTGTTTATTTCTTTTGCAGATTCTGTCAGTTTCAATTTTTGGACTAAATGGAGTCAGTAAATGGTACAATGTCGGAATACAGTTTGGTGTGTTAGCAAGTCATAAATCACAGTATTAGCTTGACTTTGTGAGAATGTGGTTTTTTTTGGTTGTGTATTTGGTTGTAAAAGAATTAAGCTATTTTTGTAATTGTCTAAAAATGTATAACATGAAATCTGGTCAATTAAACTTGTAGACTGAAGTAAACTCTCTGGTGTCCTTTAAATCATGAACATGATTCAGTTTCTTTCATTTAAGATTTCTATAGCATCAAGATGGTTTACCAACCCTACTACATATTGGATGTGCAAAACAAATGTGACATAACACACAGGCATTTAATTATTTAGACAAGTGACCATATAACATAATTATACACAGACTAATACACAGAAACTGTACAAAAATACAAGTAAGTAAAATATTAGGGACATGCCATAAAAATGGAATACCAGAAAACCTGGTCCTATAAGTTAAAGAGACGCATGTCCTTTAATACATATTTTCACAAAGGAACAAAAATTATAATCATTGGCCACCATAATGGAATGAGGCCACAGTACCTGTTGAATACAGCCCAGTAGCACTGTATGAGATCTATGAATCCAGAATATTAGAAGAGATATTGCTAGGCCGGAAGCATTCCCTTTAATGATTGACAATGAGAAAGAGCTAAAAGAAGATCACTGGACTTCTATGGGACAGTTTTCCTAATGTTTAGCAATCTTTTCAAATATATATATGTTGCTATTCTAACACAGTAGATAAGAATACTTTATTATCTAATAGTTGGACACCTGCTTTTGACATGGGTTTATCAGCTAACCCAAACACCACAGTGTCTACAGCCATAGCAGCTCTGTGAGGCTGTACCAAGGGACAGCAGTGGTCATGATGCTCACATTGACAATGCTGCTATGATGATGTTTAGCAGGAAATGTTTACCGGGGTCACCATATTATCTTTAGTGTGTTTGTATGCTAACTTTTGCTAAGTAGCACAAAAGACAAAGTGTAGCTGTGGCTGATGGATCAGAATTTTCATTTGTTTTGGAGGAATTCGGGCACAAACCAATGCACTGGACAAATTATAATTTTAACCTGATAGTGGCAGTAAAGGAAAAGTCAGAGCAAGTTATTATATTACATCCTGAGGGGCACATGAATGTCTGTACCAAATTTTATGGTAATCCATCTAGTGAATAAAAACAAAACTGTCTTCTTCATGGTGGTGATACAGAAAACATTAGTGGATCACCAAAGTCAGTAAGATTCGTTGTCTGGGCACACCGGCTATCTGTGGTCTGACATAAAAAGTTTGAGAACCACTGCAGACGTTGTTGGACAGACAGCAAAAGACCGACATTGCAATACACAGATCCACATCTGCTAGCATGGCTAAAAACCAAATTCAGTATATTCAAATAAATACACTAATGAAAAGGTTGCCAGGAAGTTAATCTGATGCGTTCTGCTGAATGTGTTAATCAAATCCTTACCACCCCGAGATTGCAGTTGACCTCTGACACTCTGTAGAAAGCTCAAAATCAAAAGTGAATTTAATTTCTGTAAACTAACTCTGCATAACATAATACAACACCAGTGGAAAGTTTCTTCTCATCCAAATGGTGTTGATGGTGGCATCAATGTTTCTTTGGACCATCTGACTCAAACCCGCTAATGGTGTGTTCCCCTTTAGGCCAATAAAGTGTGCTCTTAATTAATTTTAAAAATTGTATCAAAGAAATACAGAAACATTTTCACCAATCGTTCTCATATGTCCTCCATGAATGAGCTCTTTGTTTCTTAGACCAAACAACAGGTTACATAATTGGTTGCAGCTGATCCATGTGGAAGGGAACGTTGGAACAAAGGGATATCCGCTTGAATTGTTTACAGCAACTCTGAATGTCATGTCTTTTATTATAAATAATAACTCGTTTAAAATGAACAAATTACCTTATATTTTTGACTATTAAATTGGTGCCACATTTGTTATGGTCACTGACCACCATGAGATTGTAATACACCTGCATTGCATGCATCTTAACTATGTTGAAACTGGAAGGTTTCTCCTCCCAAAATGACATTCCATAATTCCATAATGAGTTAATCTTACTCAAAATTGTACCTTTGTATCATGCACTTGCTCTTCGTAGCTTTAGTTAAGGACAGCACAAAGATTATTTTGGAAATATTATGTCTATGAGTTAATGACAAGATGATCACATGTTGGTGTTGTTAATAAATAACAATCTGATCATGCCTTTACAACCTTAAAACATTTGGGGTGTTTAAGCTATAATAGCCACACTGTGCATTGCTAACATCATGATATAGATTACAGATTTCAAATGTAATCTGAATGGAGACAGTAATAAAAGTTTGTTATTTTTGAAATTCAAGCTGGTATGCAGGACCAGCCACAACGATGATTTCACAGAATATAACGAACAAAGAAATGTGTAAAGTGTGTAAAGAATAAACAGGTTAACCTCACACTGACCTTTTTTGTTTTTTTACAGGTTTTCTGCAGCTGGATAGTTCCCTAAAGATAAGTTGACCATTTTAAGAATATTTACTTGTTACTGCAATATTGTTGTCACTTATTTTGACTTTTGTAGCTCTCATACAACCATTAACAAACGCGTATTATAATGTTTAATTGTAATAAGGCATGACCATGGCATCGCCTGGTATTAAGTCCACATTTCCCACAATCCTCTGCGGGCTGCTCACCCCTCTTAGTTTTTGCATCCGGGTCTAAACTTCCTTTTCCTCTTTGCCCCGATGCGATGAGGACCTAGGATTTTCCGGACCTCTGAAAAATCCGAATCCATCCTTGTAAAAGGCACCACCGAACCTCGCCAAAATGACCGAGCAGATGACAGTGAGGGGGACCCTGAAGGGCCACAGTGGATGGGTCACCCAGATCGCCACTACGCCCCAGTATCCCGACATGATTTTGTCGGCGTCCCGAGGTGAGGCTTCCTCCGCCGGCTAACATAGCATCACGCTACATGTTGGGTTTGCTGCCGTAACCTAAGACAAACGATGGTGCTGGCGCGAGTGACACGTGAAATATGTATAAATAACCACCAAGGCATGTAATATTTGTACTTATTCAGTTTTACGCAGACAGAACCTGTTTTAACTTAACCGGCTAGCCAAGCTAACTTAGCTAACACTGGCGTCATCTGTAAGGCAGCCTTAAGGTCCCACATTGGATCTGTGACACGTGTAATAACATGCACAAGGGAAAATACAAGTGCAGTTACATGTATAAATGTGTGGACCTGGTCACAGTCCACTCCTAACCTGAGTAACGTTAGATTGAGCCTGAGTGCTCACCAGAAGTTTGACAGCTTTCCTTGGAAATACACTAGGACATGCTTCTAACGCTAACGGTTCTGTCTTTGCCTGAATGAAAATGTACATTGAATTAAAACAACTATTTGTTTTTCAGACAAATCTATCATCATGTGGAAGCTGACCCGTGATGAAACAAACTATGGCATCCCCCAGCGCTCCTTGAGGGGCCACTCTCACTTTGTAAGTGATGTTGTCATATCCTCAGATGGACAGTTTGCCCTGTCCGGAGCCTGGGACGGATGCCTCCGCCTGTGGGACCTCACCACGTAAGTGCAGGGAGTGGAAAGCTCTCAAGTACTGGTCAGGTGTTTGGTGGAAAGCTGCTTCCTCTACAGGCGTCCTGTAGATGGTTTCTGTGTGTCCATGTGGAACACAGGTAAAGGTTACGCAGGATAGAGTCTGGATGCATGAAATGAGGTCTGTCCTTGAATCTGTACCTGCTGCATGAAACAAATCTGCTTTTTATTCCTGGGTCTAAATTAAACCAGTGACATCACAACCTTTTCATCAAATAGGTTTGTTGTAAAACCTCAAACTCTTTACCTAGATATAGTGTAGCTTAGCCACAGGGATCTCAAATAAGTTGCTGCCAAAAAGACAGTATGTGAGTGTCATCTTAGCATAACAGTGACCAGGTCTGTGTCAATCCTTTCTTCATACCATCAATAGGTAAAGTCTGTCTGGGGAAAAAAAAAAAGTTGTGGCCAGTTGCTTTGGTTGACATTGCTCCAGCTTGCACATAGTGAGAAGCTAAGTTAAGTTTGACCTGTCTCAGGGTTAACCTGAATACACAGATGCTGCTAGTAAATGGTAAAATATTCATTGTCACCCAGTTCTTGCATCCATTTTTGCTGGACTGTGCGTCCGTACCTCTGTACTTGTTGAGCAATATAAAACTTGGAAATACTACCTAGGTATCGTATGATATGAAACAGTTTAGATCATCTGAAATGTTTGGTGTGATTTTTATTTTTTTTTTCACCTCAGTGGCCTCACCACCAGGCAGTTTGTTGGACACACAAAGGATGTTTTGAGCGTGGCCTTTTCTGCTGATAACCGCCAGATTGTGTCTGGCTCCCGAGACAAGACCATCAAGCTATGGAACACTCTTGGAGTCTGCAAGTACACCATCCAGGTGAGCTGCCGACACATGTTGTCTTGTGAGCTCTTCTGTCAGTGGAACTAGATTTTACTGGATTTAAGTACTGGGTTATGACCTTGTGTCACACTGACTTTAGAAGTTGAAACTTCTCAATCCTTGTTGAAAAACCAAACTACCCTTTAATTATGAGTTCTCGTACAGTTCACATTGATGTCAAAAGGAAACCTGCTGCTCACCCAGTCATCAATGGAAACCTTACCTTTACAACACTAACAGTGTGATGTCCAGCATTGCCGTGCCTTAATATCTTTCAATAAATGATTCAGTGACCTTGTTTGGTTGAACCTGTATTTAGTTTAGGGTTCATGTTCCTAATAAGGAGCTTAACAAAACACAGTACTGGAGATAGCCATGTTTTTCCCCACCTTGCTTGCGTAATGAGAGATGGTAATGTATTAACTGGCTTGTTTTGTTTTTTTAAGCAAAAACAAATCACTAACAAGAGAATCTTGCATTTAAGATATAAATGTATGTTGGATTTGCAGGATGAGGGCCATTCTGAGTGGGCGTCCTGCGTGCGCTTCTCTCCCAACAGCAGCAACCCCATCATTGTCTCCTGCGGCTGGGACAAGATGGTCAAGGTATATTTTGTGCAACAAACTCCCCACTTGTATACTTTTGCCCTTTGGGTTTTCTTGCTTGCAATTGTAGCACATAAAAATTAACACTTTGCCCAATGATTTGAAAACTGGCATGTATTACCTGACCTCTGGTCATTGTGTTGATGATGATTTTTGTGCTGAGGGCATAACCCATATAGCTTTATATGATCTGTATACTCACCACAGGTGTGACGTATTCCTGTCCTTTGCTCCTAGGTGTGGAACCTGGCCAACTGCAAGCTGAAGACCAACCACATTGGTCACACTGGCTTCCTGAACACAGTGACTGTCTCACCTGATGGCTCCCTGTGTGCATCTGGTGGAAGGGTATGAGAAACTTATTATATAGACTGCTACAGAATTTAAGCACCAGTTTAAGTCCAGCTTGCAGGTTTCAGCAGTGATGAAAACTTAATACATCTGTTTAACATTGATGATAAAAGAGGCTGTTTCTGAGTGTTACCTGCTTCTACAAAGGTCATTGTGGTGATCTGTAGATATGATCATACAGCAAACTGTGTAGTTGTTTGCTGTTAAGCCTAATGTAAGAATCGTAGAACTGAACTCTCTCTCACAATATTTCGTTATTTATTTATTTATTCCCGCTGCCCCCCCCTTTAGGACGGCCAGGCCATGCTGTGGGACCTGAATGAGGGCAAGCACCTCTACACCCTGGACAGTGGTGACACCATCAATGCCCTGTGCTTCAGCCCCAACCGTTACTGGCTGTGTGCCGCCACTGGCCCCAGTATCAAAATCTGGGTAAAAGATCCTAAATATTTCATTATCAGTATGCAGTGCATTAAACCTACAATGCAAAAGGCGGTGATGAAACTTCCAATGCCAACTGTATTCTTTGATGATAAAGAGGCTGTTTCTGAGCACTCACCTAGAACAACTTGTTCATAGTGTAATGCTGGATGCATTAACATGACATTGATCCTTTGCTACTTCTGAGTAGTTACTGATTGCACTGCTTGGGGGGTTTTTTCTTTCTCATGTAGGATCTGGAGGGCAAGATCATTGTGGATGAGCTGAGACAGGAAGTGATCAGCACAAACAGCAAGGCTGAACCCCCACAGTGTACTTCCCTGGCATGGTCTGCTGATGGACAGGTACAATACACTCTGCTCTGTAGGACTTATCTGAACAGATGTCCTACTATCCCACTTATTGGTGATTTTATTATTTAAACCCCGGTGATTATACCCATTCACTTTTATCTCTGATATCAAATGGTGACAGTCCTGCAAATATGAGGGGCACTAGAAACACACTTATTTGAATATTAAAGGCCTAACTGTAGGATAAATAATTAATCTGTCCCTCTTCATTTCTTGACAGACCCTGTTTGCTGGCTACACTGACAACCTGATCAGAGTGTGGCAGGTCACCATTGGAACTCGATAAGAACTTTTCATCGAAGCAACTTTGAATAAAAGACTGTTTAAAAAGAACATGTGTGCCGTCTTGGTTTCAACACCGTCTGATAGCAGTGATTGTAATATATACAGTAAGATGTTTATTACAGGTGGAACTTAAATCAATAAGACAATATTTAACAAATGTGAAGTCTTAAGGGTTTACACAAATGTCAAGTCTGAATAAGAAAAAATAAATGAGAATTAGACATGACAATTTTTGGTCACAGTTTTTAAGTTTAGTGCAGAAAAGGTACCCCAATATTTTGCAAGATTTGCTGTATACACACTAAGCTAGAGTGAGGGTAATCTTTAATAGAGAAGGCCAATGAATTAACTGAATTGATTTGTCATTGACTAGACGAAGCTGGATCAATTGACCTGCTTGGTTTGCCGTAGGCTTGCAATGGTATCCTAGCAACCCAAACAAAGAACGGGTACGGTGTTTAAAGCAATGTCGGACATTTTTACATTTATTTTAACATTCAAACTAACTTTTGTAGCTACTGCTGAGCTACTTGTTGCTTAACGTTAGTGTTTGGTTGACTTACGTGTCAAAGTAGGCTATCTTACTTTATTAGCTGTAGAGTACCCTACCGGTGCTTCTGTAGCACGCTGGTGAAGATGGACCAAACCTCATGTCTTCCTCGTATTTATGTGGAAAGAACTCTGGCCCTTATTAAACCAGATGCCATCCACAAAGCGGAGGAGATAGAGGATATTATTCTCAGATCCGGCTTCATTATCCTGCAGGTTGGTTAACAAGTCGTGAAAAATACAGCAGTAACTTACTGTTGTCGTAGTAACATGGACGTCTGTAAGCTTTAACGTTAATGGTCTGTCTTTGGGGTGTGTTGTGTCAGGAAGTGGTTGATCCAACTAATGATTTCTGAGTCGATATAAATTTGTAATTACTTCTTATTAAAAATGCTCCTAACGTTACATAAACAAGGCGTTTCTTCAGTTAACTGTTATGTGTAGAAAGTAACTGCGTTGACATCGCTAATAATATTGGATTATTTATCACATTGTTAGGGTATAAATACTGCAGCCAACTTTCAGATAAACTACCCTCTCCCCAGAGTAAATAGGATCTGACGTTACTGCAGCACTCACTGCTATAATACGATTCAATTAAAACAACAGGTGTATTATCTATCAGACAAGAGAATTTTTTTATTAAAAACAACAACCTTTGGGCATGAACGCGCAAACGGAGTGGAAGTAGGTAGGGAGACAGAGTAGCAAGTACTTTCAGAAAGGCCCATGCTTAATATATCTTTTCAGGCACTTGTTATGCAATTTGTCCACCAGAGAGCATGGTAATGTCCTGCTCAGCACATAATTATGGTCTCACTTACAGAACAACTAAATTTAAGGGATCTTTATCAAAAATGTTTCTTATTAAAAATATTGTGGGACAATGAGCATTCAGACTTTGTCTTAATTACTAAGTACTTATTTACTAAGATAAATATTTTCCTCAAAAATTCATATCAGTTCACATTTCACTGAAGTATCCAATACTGCCTTCCTGCCGCAGAAGCGGATGCTACAGCTAAGTCCAGAGCAATGCAGTGACTTCTACGCAGACCAGTATGGAAAGCTCTTCTTTCCCAGCTTGACTGCCTTCATGAGCTCCGGCCCCACCATTGCCATGACTCTGGCCCGCGACAATGCTATTACCCACTGGAAGTCCATCATAGGGCCTGTCAACAGCATCAAGGCCAGGGAAACTCATCCGGAGTGGTCAGTCTGTTAACTTATAAAGTGTTGATTACATCTTTTGATTTTCTTGTCTGTTCCTTGTATAGCACATGTGGTGTTGGAAAGTGGGTTGTACACACAAAACCAGGCCTTGGATCCATCCCATGAAATCATGCTCGATATTAAAGTTCCCACTAATGTATTAAATGTGTCCTTGGAAACAACAACTGGCACAAATTAAGCTGACCTTTAGTAATATATTTTAACCATTACTTCCGCTACCACAATGGAACTTGTGTCCCATTTATTAGTGAGCAAGGGTGTCACATTTGAATATTTCTGTGACATCCTGACACCAATCCTTTGGTAAGATAGGGAGCGCTGTGTGATGGTTTTGAAAAAATACCCTCATAATATTCTCTGTGCTCTTGGTACAGTGTGTATTCAGCTTACAATGTAAAAGTTTGAATCTGATATTTACATGTATAATTGTGATTCTGGCCCCCAGCCTCTGACTATTAATGACATACAGTACAACTTTAACCACGCCCTGTGAGTGCGGGACATTTTATGACTTAATTGTTTTTTCTAACATGGAGGTTAAAGAGTTGTGCTCATGTCAACCCTGGCAGAGATATTTATATCAATGTTATGTAATGTCCCTCAGCCTTAGAGCAAAATATGGCAGTTCCGACCTGAAAAACGCACTCCATGGCAGTGAGTCATTTCATGCGGCTGAAAGGGAGATCAAATTCATGTTCCCAAACTGTAAGTAATGCACACACTCACACATACGGTTGTTTGTACAGAAATGTAGCATTGAACACTAACAATTCTGTATCGCACATGCTTTCTCTCTGTAGCTATAATCGAGCCCTTTCCCTCAAGAGAAGCAACCGAAGAATACCTGAGCAGGTATGTAAACCCAACTCTGCTACACGGACTCACTGAGCTCTGCAAGCACAAGCCACACAACCCCTGTGTAAGTATTCGATGCTCAGCATTTGAAGATATGCAGGTGCACACATTTATTCATTAGCCATTTATTTATTGCTATTAAATTTTAGTTACCATGTTGTTTGCTGGCGTTGAGCTTTGAGTCCCTGAAACGTCTCACTCCTCCTTTTTTAACAGATTTGGCTGGCTGACTGGCTGATCACAAATAATCCAAACATGCCTAAAATATGTGAGGGAGCCATTGTGGAAGAAGCGTAATGAATGCATTATTTAAGTTTTTTATATGTTCAGTAGTATGATTAAATACATGTCTTTTCAGCACTAATCATCTGATGTGTTTGCGTTTTGTTAAAGCTATAATCCATTTGTTCTTTTTAAACACTTCTTTAAACAATGTGACTTGATTCAAAACCGGAATTAAAATGCAGCGTGTCAACAGGTTAACATTTATTGACTGGTTATTGTTAAGGTCTAACATTTCATCTGGGATTACCAAGTAACTAGTGGGTTAAAATGTTTTTATTAGAGCATGATTTCACCGAATGAATTGTATGACCTGAGGTGAAATGAGAACATTAACTAGGTTGGACCAAAAAACTCAGACAACAACATGTTCTGGTCTACCTGCTGTTATCAGCTTCATCTCTTGTTGCTCCTCTGGAAATTGTTCACAAACACAACATGTATTATTGCCAAAGTACTACAGCCAGTAAAGGACCTACATATGGCTGTCTGAATACATTACTGAATATACAAAGTAGATGACCTCAGTTGGTCAAATGAGCATTACAGTATTTTATTCAGGTTGCTTTACAGAGGTTTGCATGGCAGCTAACAAATCAATTATATAGGAAAATAATCTCAATCAGCTTTGCAACAGTAGTTTGTGATTTGGATCATTTTTCAGCAATGGACAAAATATATAGAAAAAGATTATTTTTAATTATTGAGATATGGCTGAAGGTCATTTGAGTTTAGGTTATTTGGTTTGCAGTATGTGATTGTAGCTTTATATGAAGGCTATGTGAGGCTCTGGTCCTGTGGCTCGCTCAGGATAAGCGGTTATAGAAATAGTTTTGTTATAGAAATGTCCTTTTATCAAACAGAACAAGGCATGACAGGGAATATCACACATTCTCTGCTATCTACATGATTTAGAAAAAAAAATAGGAACAACTTTAGGAATAACAATCTCTCATTGATTACCACAGAGCTGAATCTACACCTCTCAGAAAGTCCCAATAAAAAAACGGTGTATAAACTCAACAAACTTGTGTTTATTGCGAACTAATGCACTCGATTTTGGATTTGATTTAATTATTTTATAGTGCCAGTTATTTTTGTCCAAGCCATGTTCAGTGTTTCTATTTTTACTTGTTCAATAATCACTGAAAAAAATGTCTATGTACAAATATAAAGGGAGTAATGGCAGCTCTTTATGTATGCGTTAATGCATCATTAATGCGCATACAGAGGTACCAAAATCTACCTTTTGGACATTTTCCACTGTCTGGACCGGGCTACTGTTGCGTTCGGCTATGTTTCGTCAGATTCAGAGCGGATAGCAGTGCAAGTAAGTGAAACGCTTTGACACGCTATTAAACACAATCTGTTCGTCGTGTTTTAGCTGTGCCGATCGGCGTGGCAGTAAATTCACCGAGCAGTGAACAAATCTTTCTTCTGTAGAAGCAGAAAAGGTGCCTTGTTGAATTCCTTCCTGCGAGTCAAGGGCGTGAACATCTTCAGTAAAAAGAAAACGACGCCTATGAAATCGGTCGGCGTCATGATTGACAGCAGTGATCATCCAATCAGAGGGCTTATCTGCAGAAAAGTCGTTTTTTTCTGCCGGTTCTAGAAAACCAACCACGAGTTGTCGTCGTGTGGGAGAATCCATCTTGAAGAGAGCTCTCCGGTTGTGTGTCCCGTAAGCAGGTTTTCGTACTTCATTAGTCTTGGTTTTTTCATTGTATTGTCACGTAAGTACCTTGACTGTTGTAGTGTTTTTGTATTTTTCTGGTATGTGTAGATGAAATGGCTGTATTAGTAAAAAAAAAAAAATAGGCCTGCGGTGCAGCTAGTACGGCCTCTCCATTACGTAACTGCGAAATAGAGTTGTACAGTCCAGGCTCGGTTTATCAGCGTGGTACAGATGGTTACGCTTTCTCTAATCTTTGGCTCTAACGTTAGCAGAAATTTACGTTAGACGTTGGGTGGTTACTTTAAGTTAACGTACTCTGTTGCCATTTGCTGGTTCTCTGCAACAAATGGGGCCTTGTGTGAATGTATGGGACGCAATCGTGCCGGCCAAAATGGTGGGAAATGCATGCATTGGCACCATGTAAATGGCGAAGCGTGTACGGCATGACGGATTATATAACCACCGGGATTTCATGACTTAAATATATTTTTCTCTCATTTGGGCTTAGGTATAATAGTGCAAAATGTCCGAGACAGAGCAGCAGTATATGGAAACATCAGAAAACGGCCACGAAGTCGACGATGATTTTAACGGAGCCGAGCACACCGAGGAGGCAATCGACGAGAGCGCCGCGAATGACTGCGGAGAGGGCGAAGGGCCCGACGCGGACGGGAATTCACAAAACGGTGGCACGGAGGGCGGCCAGATCGACGCCAGCAAAGGCGAGGAGGATGCCGGGTGAGTTTAAAATGGCACAGTGTGATTTTGTGTGTTTGTGAAGCCGACAATGATCATAAGCACTCGTGGTTTGCCATGTTTCTTTGTTCAACCGGCCTTTGTTGGCGCCATATGCAGAGCGGAGGGGGGGGATGGGCGTTTGGGCAGGGATCAAATCTCCATGTATTGGTTGGAGAGGCTACTGAGAGGAAGCGTCTGCTGCGGTCTTATCGGACATATTTTAATACATACATACATACAATTAAAGTTAAATTGCCTGAAACCATAGCAACTGTAGCCTCCCTACGTGTTTGGGTCAACAGATGTTCTGGAACAGTGTGTACATTTAAACACCCCCCACCTATTTTTTTTTTTTTTACCCATCACCACCCCCACAGCCAAAGTTGGAGTAGCAGTACTGCCTGAAATGCTTAAAGTGTACTTTTAACTCTTTGTGCTCAGGAAAATGTTTGTTGGTGGTCTCAGCTGGGACACGAGCAAGAAGGACCTTAAAGATTACTTCTCTAAATATGGCGAGGTGACGGACTGCACCATAAAGATGGACCAGCAGACAGGCCGATCAAGAGGCTTCGGCTTCATTCTCTTTAAAGATCCAGCCAGTGTAGACAAGGTAAGTGGGGAAGCAATCATGCTGGACCGTTTAAGAGCTTTTAATGGGTGTTTACAAGAGGGGTTATATTTAATGTTTTCCTGTGTTTTTATTTTAGGTTCTTGAACAGACGAACCACAAGCTAGATGGCAGACAGATCGACCCCAAGAAGGCCATGGCAATGAAGAAGGACCCTGTCAAGAAAATCTTTGTGGGAGGCCTTAACCCAGACACTTCAAAGGAAGTCATTCAGGAGTACTTTGGGACCTTTGGAGAGGTATGGTATTCAATTCATTTTCCTCAGTTTATTTAGGAGTCTGAAGTGTAAATTAGTTCCTTCAAAGGGTTGTTTTCCTCTTATGTAGATTGAGACCATCGAGCTTCCACAAGACCCAAAGACAGAAAAGAGGAGGGGATTCGTATTTATCACATATAAAGAAGAGGCTCCGGTCAAGAAGGTTATGGAGAATAAATACCACACCGTTGGTGGAAGCAAGGTAATAGCATATCACACTGTCTACATGAAATTGGGTGTAATAAAGTCATTGATACATTTTGTTCAAGTTATGTCACACTGCAATGTAATGTGCTCTTGTGTGGTGTTACAGTGTGAAATTAAAATTGCCCAGCCCAAAGAAGTCTACCAGCAGCAGCAGTATGGTGCCCGTGGGTACGGCGGACGTGGCAGGGGCCGTGGAGGTAAGCCCTTTTTTTTTTTTTTTTTTTTTCTTCGTATGTCTACTAGCAAAATCTCGAATTAAACTACACTCTGTATTCAACTTTAATTTGTGCCGAGTAACTTCCTGGGTCATGTGTGCTGGAGAGTTGTGACAAAGGCCTCACCTGTTGTTTCTAGGCCAGGGCCAGAACTGGAATCAAGGTTACAACAACTACTGGAACCAGGGATACAACCAGAACTATGGCTACGGACAGCAAGGCTACGGATATGGCGGCTATGGCAACTATGACTACTCTGCTGGTTATTACGGCTATGGGGGTGGCTACGATTACAGTAAGCGATAAGTGCCCCCAGGGAAAGAAAGAATGAGAGAAACTTTATTTTCTTGGTCCTCCTTGTTGTACAGAAGAACTCAGTCCCTTTTTCTCTTGTCCTCCAGACCAGGGCAATACAAGCTATGGGAAAACTCCAAGACGTGGAGGCCACCAGAGTAGCTACAAGCCATACTGATCACACGTAGTGCAGGTATGCATTTTTGCATCATCCGTGGTAGTATGAGAACATAGCTGTAACCATTGGTGCCTTTTTGACCCCAAAGATCCATCTACTCTAAATCCATTCAAGCATTGTGGTGGGGTTAGGGTAGGCCGTGTTGTGGGGTCTGTGATCATTAAAGATGGATTCATTCCACCTGTCGGCCATCTTAAGATGCATCTCTACAAACACTACTTGATCAATAAGGGTTGAGTTGGTGGTGGTTGAGAACAGGAATAAGGGCCGTTTCACCTTTCACTAGGGTGCTAGGTGTAATAGCTAGCGGTCGTGCCCCCCCCCCCTCCCCCTAAAGTGTCTGTCCATTCACTGACCTGTCAAAGCTCATTCATGCACCTGTCTGTCTTTGTGTAACTGCATGTCATATTTGGTTTATTCTCAGTAACGTTAAGCACCGTGTTTTTCTCTTAAGGTCTAAAGTAAATAAGAAAAAGAGATCCATGGTCTGACCACAGCGAACATGGGCTCTGGCTTTTCCTTTGGAGTTGGCAGAAATTTGGACTCATGCTCCATTTGTACAGATCAAGTGAGGAACTGGGGAAGCAAATGTCACTTTTCCACTTTTTATTTTATATTGTTTTGTGTCCATTTACATTTCCAGTGATGGAAGTGTTATTTTTACTGTACTTTTTGGTACCTTTTTGAATCTAATGTATTGTATGGTTGTATTTTTACATGTCTACTGGATTTACAGACGAGCAGGAGCAAGGGCTTTTAAAGCTCACAAATAAAACAATTATGCTTTTTTTGTTTTCTTTTTTTTCCTTTTGGTGTTTCTAGATCTTTAGTTATATTCTCCCATGCTGAGTGTTGGATGCGAGTTGCATGGCTTCATATGTGGGGTGAGGCAAAATAAGGGATTTAAACTAATCAACGGGTTCATTGTAAGCGTGTCAAGTGAATGTTTGCAGATGGTCTAGTAGACGAAGACAACCAGCATTTTTTTTTTTTTTTTTGGCTTTTAAGGAGATTCTTCCCCCATCATGTTTGCAATTTTAAGTGGCTTTACTAGTGTTATTCAACTGAACGCAAGCCTGTTAATGTACGAGGGTACTCCCTCTCTCACTGGAAACTCATTCCTCTAGTGTCTTGGGCAAATTGGTAGAAATAAACTTTTGGTTTATATTACACATGGATCTTTTTGTTATTATTTGTTAAAGTTAATGTTAAATGTTTTGTACTGTTAAATGGCTTGCTTGTTTTGTCTTGAGTAATGTTAACATCGCTACGGATGCCTCTTTGGTAAGCTATGGGAAAGGGCTTCACTACCTGCAGGATAACTGGCTGATTGTTAATACCCACCCCACTAGATGTGAAACTGCCATACTTGAGCATTTTTAAAGAATGTGTCGGAATTAAAGATAGTGGTCTGGTAAGTGCTTATCCCAACCATACTGTGTATTGAGAACATGTTGCTGATCAGTGTTGTAAATTGGGATCACTTTCTATATTGCTGCTGGAAACACAAGAGCCAGGCTTTAAAAAAATCAAGTGTTTATTTGATTTAAATTTTTTTTTTTTTTATGGAAGTCAAGTGTCACATTTGCAGTATTATCTTGTATATTAGTTCTCCTGCGTAGCAATGTGCTGTAGCTGGCACCACTTCACATTAGATGTGCCTCCAATTGGCTGATTCATCATCGAGGTGACTGGATCTTATTTTCCTAAAGTGATACCATACAATGGTAGTGAACACCTGGGGAAAACGGTTTACAACATTTCACTTTTAGGTTGCACAACACTAGACAAATTAAGATGGTGACACTGTCACCACTTTGATATTTGCTAGATTTAAACTGATGTACTAATAAAAGGACAGGAGTCAGACTAGGTCAACTTAAAAACACTCAGTGATCAGTGCTGAGCAACATGTTCTAAGTGAATTAACTTGTTTGAGCTACTTGAACCTCAAGTATAGACATTCATCTCTACCTCTGAACTTTATGAATGTGTCCATCTGAGAATGTCTAATGCAATTAAAAATTTTTCTACAGGTTTATCAAACCTTAGATGTCGTCCTTTTCCAGTTTAAGGTCACTGACTTCCATGTCTGTGGGAACAAGAACACTTGAAGTTATTCTACACTTGTTAACACACTGTGTTAATTAGCTCTTTATAGGTATGTCATTCAAACTGATCATGGCATCTAGATGTCTCCATAACTACAATCCTGTGGTATCAACCGTAAACTATAGATGGTGGGTGTGAAACTAACCTGTGAGGATGCGGTCAATACATTTTACCACCAGTTCTGTGTCCTCCATAGTAAAGCACATAGGAGGTTTAAACTTAATGATATTTTCCCAGGGGCCATCTGTGCTGACGCATATTTTATCATCCTCTTTCAACCTAATGTAAATGGGACATTGAGTTACATGATACTACATCCTGTGACAGAGATGGTGTATCCAAAAGAATATATTTTTCTGGCAGGTAAAAACTGCACAACTAACTACTGTACTGCATCGTTCTCCTGTACCTCTTTACGACCCATGCTGCTGTTTCTGTGGCAGGAGTCCTCTTTTCTCTGTCTGTAACCAGCTCAAGACCAACAAACAGTCCTGCACCTCTGTAAAAAGCAAAAAAAAAAACCATGAGCCAGGCAAGGCTGGGAGTAACAGAAGGCTGACACTTGTTAACCCATGATATCAGATATTTAAGAGCTATGTAAACATTCTTGAAGGCATAGTCTCATTTGGCCAGTTATGGTAATCAAAATAGACACCTGGCATATATGGTTATTATTTAAGATTATGTCCCAACACCTTTGTTTATTAGGTGTGCCATCTGCGAACCTAATGGAAAAAATTAATTCAATACTTGCATAGGGTGTATCAGAACTATGTAACATGTTTGATTAACGGAACTGATAGTCTTATTAAATTTTGGAGCAAGTTCAGCTAAATCATATTGATTATCTGAAAACTACAGTTGCTGCTTAGTAGACTAGTTTATATTAATGTAGCCCATTTGTTATGAGCATAATTATATTGAAAAGAGAAATACTTTTATTAATTTAATATCCCGGTTTAACTGGGTATTGCAATGATTCTGAGGGGTATGTCTTCAAAGTAAGATACTGTTGTTTTTATGTAATTTATCCCTTTTTTAAAATTTTTGCTTAGTAGTATGACACTTTTGAAGAAAAAGCAAGTGCCTTGCATAGTCCTTTTTCACAGAAGACATTTTCACACACCACAGTAGGAAAAGCACAGCTGTAAATAATAAAATGAAGGATTGCTGACTTTTATTTATGCCGGGGGGGTCAATGTCATAACTTAGTGGAATTCTTACATAGCAGGAGCTATTGTTAATATTAGAAACACCTGTGCTTTTCCTGCAAAGACAAGTCAAAATATTTGTGTATAAAACAGCCTCATACACACACCACAGAGAAATTATTTTGGTTGAATGAAACTGAGAAATGCATGCAAATGCAATGATAGGGGTTCATTTTTACACTGGACTTTTAACTTATCAGCTGCATACATGTTAACATAATAACCATATTTTATCCCAATGGCTTGTCTACCATGTAAAGTCATTGCATAAGTTACAGTGTCTCCTATGTGATGTTCCACCTTCGCTCAGAGGCCCTCGTATCCACACAGGTGTTTTCAACTACTCGCACTAATGAGACCTTCCAGGTTGAAAGTAGAGGCTATGTCGGCAGTTTGCTGAATCACTAAAGTTTAAAGTGAGTGACTGTCAAAGTACAACACAGTGTGCACCAACTGACCTGCTTATAAAAACAATAGAAAAGCATATTGCAGTTTTAACACTGCACACATTGCAGGGCACATTTAATGAGCACTCTTTTTGAGTGTACAAGCACAACTGACCTTTTGTAGAAATTTATAATGTATCATACTGTATGTGTTTTATTAAGATGCATGGTTTTGTGATTGTTGAGAATATCTTGTGCCTATTTCAAGCCTAAGCACCCAGCGTGAAAACGAGTGCAGCCAATTCTTGTAGTATCAGTTGTTCCACAACAACAGTTGCGTCGATCAAGCACTGTACATGCTCAAGCTGCCCTGACAGGAGGTTTAATCGGCCAAGATAAATGAAAACCCTTGTGTGGATGTACCAAGGGGGTGTAGGCTCTTTAATTGGGGTTGGCAGGGAAATGGTGGTATAAGTAGACACCATTTACTTATTTTTATAAGTGACTTAAAGCCACAGACTCTTGAGTTGAGAATAGCATTGGCCTTTGAGTTTAAAGAGCACAAGTGCATTGGTCACTGCAACCTCACCTGACATCGCCAATTACATCATGTCGTGATTGCAGCTTTGTGAGCAAATCTTTAAGATGTGCTCCCACCCTTGTGGCGTTTCCTCTTAGGTCCTCTTTCTCTATCACATCAAGAACTGCCAGGCCAATTGCACAGGACACTGGATTCCCTCCGAACTGCATGAAGTTGGGGAGAAAATAAATTGTTTCATCTTGATATACGCATGCTTACAGAGAGATAGTTAAAAGATTTCCACCAAAGTAATTTTGTTTTGTATAAAAACAGAAATTTATATCTACATCTTTTATTAGAAATGTATTTTTGGAATTTTAGTTAATAAGGTATGTTTTATGGCAGCAATGTAGTGGTAAATTAAAGATTGGCTGAACAACAACTTGTGAACAGTAAACAAACAATAGTCGAGTGATGAAAGTAACCACCATGAGAGAATAAATAAAATTTAGGAACAATAATAACTTACTATGATGTGAATGTCATGATTTATGTCGGGCTATAAAAATGGTCAACGTATTCCTTATTATGTAAAAGCATAGATATCCCAGAGTTACTACTCTACTGTCTGGGCTTGCAAACTTTAACGGGGTCTTGATGAAACAGTATTTAAATAAGGTAGGTATGAAGCAGAAAATAACAATTGTCCAATTAGTGACACCGTCCTTGCTCTCCTACATGACCATATACCCAACACACATTTGTTGGTGCCTCAATGGCTGATATGTGTGTGTGGATGTTTTTTACCTTTATGAATTGTTTTTTCCTGCTTCATACCTACCCTATTGAAATATTGTTTGTAATGTGTTTCATGATGACCCTGATTAAGGCCACAAGCCAAAATACATTGGTCTAACAATGAAATCGTTATATACTACAAGTCTTGCTGGAGTTTTGATCTCTTTACTTTTACCCTTCTCCATGCACCTTGGAAGCAGGTAAAATTGTGCCAGAAACCCCTACTCTACTCTGACTGCCTCTAGAGATAGGAAAAGCTATAGGCGCCGACTTATAGAAACATTCATTCATATTAGGTTGAGCTATTGTACAGTCACCGTATTGAAGTACTCCACTCCGTTGGCTGTGAAAGCTCCAGCTATCTCTACAGTGGTTGCCACACATGCAAGTGGATGCCCGTTTCCCATTGGTTTGCCCATGGTCACTATGTCGGGACAAAAACCCTCCCCCTGAAGCTGGAAACCCCAGAAGTGACTTCCCACACGTCCAAAGCCTGTCTGCACCTCGTCTGCCACAAACACGCCACCAGCTGAATGCACATATCTGTGGAAAGTATGAGGGAGATGCACCATGTCACCATTACTGTACATGCGGCTGAGTAATAACAGAACCTGAAAAATTCTCTGCTGCTCACTCTGCAACTTTAGTTGAGTATCCCTGGGGCAAGATGATTTGTCCTCCAACACTTGGCAATGACTCAGCAAAGAAGGCAGATATCTATAAGAAATGGGTAGTATAAGCAATAAAAATGTTATGCATTGGTCATGTTTCTTAAAGCTTAATTCTGGGCAATGTAAACTATGGTAAAGTGTACCTTACGCCCTTTCCTGTGCACTTCCTCTATTAGGTCTTTTACTGTATCAGCGTATGCTTGGCCTGGGTTGGGGTGATTCTCTCTGTATATTCCTCTGTATGTGTCTGGTAAGGGAGCCTAGAAGGATGAAACACATGGTTTCCGACAGGCAAGAGGCTGCTGTTGATCAGCAGCTTGTATAATGATGGTTGCGTAAATTTACACACCACATGAACCCATTCTTTCTGTCCTGCCAGTTTCCGGAACTTGTAAGGACTAATGTCAATGAGCGACTTGAGATGCCCATGGTATGCACTAGTATCAAAGGAGAGTTAATTGTAATTAAAAAGCAGGTGTATCATCAGAGGGTTAAAGTGTTGAACTGTTAACAGAATACTTACTGGTCAAGCACAATGACATCCTCATGTTGGGTGTACTGCTGTGCCAAGCGTAGGGCAAGATCATTGGCCTCTGAACTGTCAAAAGAAGACAGTTGAAGAACAAAAAATTAACAGTAAAACTACTGGATTGGTATGTCAGGCATACCATTCTGTGGAACTATGGGTGTATTGAAAGGCATTATTTACCCAGAGTTAACAAAGTAGAAGACGCACAGTTTCTCAGGCAAGGTAGCAGACAGGCGCTCTGCATACACGACTATGTTGTCGTGTAGAAATCGTGCATTTGTGTTCAGGATTTCCATTTGTGCTGCCGCAGCCTTTGTAATGCTGGGGTGACAATGGCCCACTGCAATAGAAAACATACAGTTGTAAAAATATGTTACTAATGCATTAAACATGTCTGCCGCTAGGAGACATAAGTGTAATACCATAGGGTAATACATATGGACTATGCACCGGATGATGTTTTACCGTGATGAACGTTACTGATACAGTCCAAATAGCGCAGGCCATTCTCATCGAATAGATATTGTCCTCTTGCTCTTACTATTTTCACAGGGTCGTCTGAATAAAAGAGTCTACATGACTGCCTGTAATCGAAGTAATGAAAACGTGTCAGTAACTTTCGAGCAAGCACACAATGACTATTGGCTAGAAAATCACCAGTCACTGTTAACTTTACATACCCGATCAGTCGCTTCCTCATTGCGAGAGTGTCTTCTTTCTTGAGTTTTTCTGCCGCCATGCTCTCTTTGGTTTCTCTGTGTGTGTAATGTATACCAAAGACCGCTAAGGCAATGGACGAAAAGTCACACAAAGCAGTTATCAGGAGTATCTGGACGCTTTATGGAATTGTTTTGCCAAGTCTTAACCACCACCACGCATGCGTCATTAGCTTATTTGCGTTAGCCTAAGCATTCTGCCCATGCATATATTTTTTTTCTATCGAACATATAGGCTGTCTAAATAGAACAGGCATTATATATATATATGTATATATATATCTGAAGAAAATAACTAACGTTACTTTGTCTGTCGCTGAGACGTCATTTGATCAATTGTGCTGTTATGCTGTCGCTTTATTTAGAGGGGGCTAACTGTGGGGCTGTTATCGGAACAGCGACATCCAAAATAATGTAACATATGTTGCTAAAAAAATCATCTTTCACTTGGTAACACGTGAATAAATGTCATATTCAGTAAATATGCGCTAGATAAGTATTGCGGGGTTTCCTGAAATCATTTTTTTCCCTGAGGCAGTGCATTTAAAACACCTCTGTATTGGTATCGTCCAAAGGCTATAAATACTCTGCTGAACTGTCCTCTATCCCGTGCACTGTGTGCAGCTTCGGTTGCTAAGGAACCACCGAACGCAGGTAATTCATCAGGACAGCTGTGGTATGCTAGCTCCTAAACAAGCTGCGTAACCGAGCTAACGCTACAACTAATCTAGATATACATTATCGGCCCGGCCGTCTAACGTATTAACGCCCCATTTCTTATTCTAGTCTAACGAATCATGGCTACAGCCGGGTGTAATGACAAGCCATTCACCGGTAGCAAACCGTCCGAATGTAAGCAAACGGATGCTATTAACGTTAGTTAGGACCCTTGTTGTCCTATCAGCTAGGTTAGCTAACAGAACCGGCTAATAACTTTGTGCTCCACGGGCTGCATCGTGCTGCTGAGCTAGCTTACGTTAACCGATTTAGCCAGTAACAGTTAAATCAAGTGCTATATTAAGTCATACATTGTCAATGACAAACACTTGTGCTGCAGCTACTGTTTGATAACGCCAGGGCTTCAATTGGCTAACACAAACGTGTTTTTTATTTATTATTAGGATAAAGCTGCGCAACACTGCCATAAACTTATTTGATGGTTTGCACGTTAGTGAAGAGGGTAAGCGTCCTTTAAGCCAGACCTACTTAATTAACATGATAGTATTAATAATGCTGTGTTTTGTACACGTGTCTCGCTAGTCGTCTTGAGAATATTATAATATTATATTAAAGTTTGTACTGTAACTATTAGTAACGATTGAAAAGTAATAAGTTTTAAATCAGCCTGTGGTTGACAGCATTGCTCTTGGTGGTTCATGAGCAAATGGAGTCATTCTGTGGGGTGCAGAGCTTTAAACGCTGACTGCTGCCGCAGGGTAAGATTCAGACTGTCTGGCCGTGCGTGTGAAGTAGCTTGTCTTCTGGCATGTGGAACTAGGCTAGCAATGTAGCACCCCGTTTGCCACAAGGAGGAAGGCCCTGGAGGCCACATCTGACTCACAACCGCAAGTGTTGTGAGCTCTGTGGTTGTGAAGCAAAGTCTCTTCAATGAGTAGGACTCTAAAATATCGTCAAACGTTTTAATTCGGATTAAGACACATACTTTCAAATTGAGTTTATTCATTAATGTCTGGTTTGTGAATATGTTACTCTAGATTTTGGGTGCACTGCACTTTTAAGGAGCAGTGCAAAGGCTGAAAGGTCATGTTACATTTTAATATATTGGCTGGAGTTTAGTTATTGACATTTTTGTGATGTGTATAGATTTGCTGGGATTCCTCACATGTGTCAGTGCAGGTTAATCTTCAGATATGTCTTATGGATTGAGTTACCTTCAGATCTTAAACTAACTCTGATACTTTCATATAAAGAGAATATCTGAGGAATGTGTTAAAGAAATGGACACATTGGCTGCCTTGTGGTCCCCCGTTCTCTGGGTATGTCACACCATTTTAGCTTTGCCTTGGCAATAAAAGCCCTTAAGACCTGGTCACTGTTCTTTTGTCCCCCTTGCAAAGATACTGTGGCATGTTTCCAACCCCTGTCCCCATTCATTTTTCACACACTCCCCCATATTTTATTTCCCCACCCAAAAGTTGGGATGTACTCTGCATTTTCTTTTGAAATGACACTAATCTGTGTTTGTAGCCCCAATAAGAACTATGTTAATTGTGCATGATGGAATGTGAAGTGTTTTGTTCTGGGTGTCCTCACATCCACATGTGCTCTCTGCCTTTTGTGAACATGAATTTATGCCTTTTCATCTGTGAAGGAGGCAGCATGTAGATGGTAAAATGTTCTTAATTTGAACACATTTATGCAGGCATCTGGTTCATCTGTTTGCTTTTCCACACCACAACAGTTATTTCTCTTCAATGTGGCTGACTAGTTTCAGTTAATCGACAGTTTCATATGGATCCCTTCTCGTCTGTCCCTCTAGGTGGCATAAAGATGATGGTGGCATAGTGAGAAAGCTGGTCTGGCTGGTTAGGTGTGGAGGGGACACCACAAACCACGCCAGGATTGACTAACCTTTCCACTGCCCACAATAAATCTCCTCATCTCCATGTCTGTCCCTGGATTGTAGCTACAATTATGGTGACACTTATCACAGAGCAGCTCCGTAAACAGAGTTTGGAAGAGCCTTATTACAAGGCTTTCTCATTTAATGTGAATGCGGTGAGTTGGATACAAAACTAAATCTGTCCTTTAACTAAAATTTTTATTCTTTATTCACTTAGTTTTATGGGTTCTGGTTTTGAATTTAAGTTATATTTCTGTTTCAGTCATTACCTGCAGTGGGCTCAAGTCCCACTGTCTCATGGAGTGCTTGTAGATCAACACAAGGCAAGTTCACAGAATTAAGCAGCTGCATTTTATTTTACCTATTTGTGGAGAAATCTGTCTCATGTCTATCTTTTGGCATTTTCAGAGACCAGCTCAGCTACACACCCATCATCCAAAGCTAACCTTCTGGATGATTTCTGTGGACCAGACCCTCTAGGGCCTCCTTCCCGCTCTGGAGAAGCTTTCCAGAGTCCAGAGGTTTCTTTCACAGACGAGGTTTTCCAAAGCTCCCCTCCGCCACCACCTCCAAAACGCCACTGCCGGTCCCTCTCTGTTCCTGAGGACCTTTCTCAGTGTCGCTCTACCTGGCATCCTAGTGCATCCAAGGTTTGGACCCCAGTCAAACGTGGCTGCCAAAGTGGAGGATTATCTAGTTCAGGCTCTGCTGCGAGCTCTTTGCCACTTTGTGGTCCCAGTTCCTCCTTCACTTCTTCATCCCTACACTCATCTTCTAGCCCTACCTTCTTCAGCTTAGCACTGTCTGACTCCCCACTACCATGGAGCTTCCCATGGGACCCCTGTGACCAACTGAAAGGAACCTGTTCTGCCTCTTTTGCTACTCCTTCCTCCTGCTCCTCTTCACCGGCCCCTATGGTTTCTCACTCAGTACTGCAGCGCCGATTCTCCCTCTCCCCTGTGCACATTCATGGCGCCTCTTCTGTGCTCCTGCCCCCCCATCCCTCCCCTGCTTCTGCTCTGACATATGACTGTTCTGGTGTGGAACACCCAGCCCTGTCTCCATCTCCCACTTCTGCGTGTAGTACACCATCCTCCTCTAGACGTGACCTGCACCCAGCGCTGCCGCGCTGCCGCTCGCAGCCCTGTGATATGCGCAGACCTCGCTTGAAGAGGCGCCGTGACCCAGATGTTCTGCCCTGCCCTAGGCCAGGCCTTAACTTCAGCAAGATGACACAGGTGAGCAAGAAAGTCCAATGGGCTGTCAGTGTAGGTAGTCTATCTCCTCATTGGTACATGCAGTATACTGAGACAAACTTAATTATATCAGTTAGTATATGACCAGGCCTGGGTTCAGTTGTACCCATGTATTCTGTCTTGGATGGCAATGGTACGCCCCTGGCAACACTCCATTCCCCAAAACTCTGGTTCAGCACATCTAAGCTTAGCCCTCACACCACCAGCTCTCATTTCCCACTGGTATTTTAGGTTGGGATCATTAGTGAAGTAGTGATCCCTCAGATCCGTTTCCAGATACCCATCTAACTCCTCACATCAGTGTAGTCAGGATTGGGTTCTTGGCTGTTTTTGGTGCAGGCAATTCTACCTGATTGGCTACAAAAGCCACCACACAAGTGTGTTAAGCTTTCCTATCTCTACTCAAAGCTGGCCTTTATACAGGCTCCCTTTTCCAGCTGTGATGCACTCTACCAAACACAAGTTCCAGTTTGTCCCATTCACAATGAGACTCCTGTCACAGGTTTCCCTGGTTGCAACTGCTTAAGAGAGCAAAAGTAACTTACCACTCTGCCTTAATATGAGAAGTTCACAAATGTTCAGCAGGCAAAATCCTTAAATGCAGAGCTTTTCTGAAAATCTAGACCTTCTCACTTATATTGTGCTAATATTATATCATCATGACAAACCACCTAGTACACGCACAAAGTTGGGTAGCTATAAAGTTCCAGTATGTTGGCTTGCTGGCACTTATAGTACTTCTAATCTGTGTCAACTTGTCAAGTAATCTTTTGCATAATTAACAAGAAAAGAACATTTATGTAAACTACATAATTTAAATAAAGGTCTAAAGTTTCCAGCATTCGTTAGGTTGACCATTTACTTGACCAGCCAAGCTCATTAACTCTCAGTTATACTTTTTCCAAAGAAGCAGGCACAGCCATCCTGCAGACTTCCTGGCTTTGCCAGTGATGTCATCACTGCACTACATTTTATTACATTTAGGTGTGGATCCTGGAGGTGTATGGAGCTGATAATCTAGCTGCATGAATGAGCACTGAGAATTAGACTGGGCCCCTTCGAGTGGTTTAGCCACCTGTTAAATGCTAGAATTGTCACATGATCATGATTCTTCTTCTTTTGTCCTCTGTAGATTGGTAATCACGAGAGCCTCCTGTGTGGTACAGGTGTCTGCGTAGTTCCAGTGTCTTCCCAGTCAGAACATCGCTCAGCCTTCTCCCCTGCAGACTTCCTGGGACGAGCCAGCATTGGGCCACTGAGTGAAAGTGAAGAGGAGGAAGACGAGGATAAAAGAGAGAGGACTGTAATGGATGGAGGACAAAAGATTGTTTTTGAAAGGGACTGCACAGAACTGGACTTGAACCTTATAGAAGAGAACTGACACTCCTTGGTGCTCCCAGTGTGATTACTGCATTCATAACAATGTTAAGCACACCTGTAGGCTTTGTGCGCTCTCCTGGCAGAGTCCTTGGGAACCTGCTGCCCTCCTAAGGCATGTCAGAGTTCACAATCAAGAACCAAGCAATTAGAAGCTAATATCAACTTACAATGTAATGACTGTAAAATTTGAGCTAGTTCATTAATTAACATTTCAAAGGAAATATCAGAGTGCCTGCCTATTCAGTGCTCCATAGGGAAATGTGCATGAGTAAATGTTTTCATGCACACAGAATTTGGCTAATTTCATATTGATAAAACTCTTATTTGCTTTAATCATTGGTATGCATCTTGATATCTTTACATATCCTCAAAGAATGCCATATACTGGAGTAAGCAGAATGTGCTTAATATTGCCTCTAAGTGATTTGAATACACGCTAAAAGCAGATAGTTTATTGGGATAGAGGTAAGCATTCCTCAATGCCCCATCAGATACTGATGTAATCTACTTATGTTTTTCTCTGAATTTGGACATGACTGTATGTGAGCTGTTTAAAGGTTGCTGCCATGTGTAGGTCAAAATATTAGAGTAGCCCCAACAACATAAGAATACAGATTTATATGTAAATGCTCTCCTGTATGTTTAACAGGATACATTCCAGGATTTCGCTGCAGTTTCTTAAATCCCCCATAGGCCCTAAAATCATGTCCACCTCACTGCTCTTCTATCTTTGATTTAGCTCGTCCTTTTGGAGTAATTCTACAACATCAAAGGGAAGCTTTTCTTGTCATAGCATAAAGGATTGCTCTACTCTCTTGTAGGGGGGGTGGGTGTGTACGCGCACACTCTTTTCTATGTTGGAAGTTTTCTAAATTGCTTGAACATTAACACACCTTGTCAACAACAATACTGATGATACTGTAAACTGACCACGCCTTAAGCTTAAAATACAGAGTTCTTGGTGCTCTGGTCTTCTTTTCACAGCCAGACATTTTTGCTATCCATGTTTGCGCTGATTCACATATTTGTCAACAGGTCGGACATGCACTATAATCAGTTGAATAACTGAATCGATGCTGCAGCTGGACTTCACATAGGGCACAATGTAACCTACTGTAGGGCGGTAAAGTGAGTACACACGTCAAGCCCATTCTGAGTTTATGACAAAGGTGGTAGTTATGCAGATTTGGTGGCCTTCCAGAAATGATTTTTCATGTGTTTTCAGATGGTAATATTACTGTTGCACAATTTATGTACAAATAAAATTTAATAGAGAATCTTGTGGGGGGTGGGGGGTTGTCTTGTTTTTTTTTATCTTCCAGCAATCTTGCCTTCTATCCAAAACATTTTCCTGCCTGTATTCAAATACAGGAACACCTTAGGGGCCAATAGATCATTGTGACACCTAGTGGCTGAATTTAGTGTAATACTGTGTTGCATATAAACACAGTAAAGTCCATTCTGACTTTACTAACAGCAGATTTCGATGCATACAGAGCTACGTGTTCTGTTTGTGGGGGAATATTTTCCACAAAAAGTGAAACTGAACCATTTACAGCTTGCTATAGCATAGTAACAACGTATCCTTTGAGACGTATACATGGGTTTATAAACATTGGACAGGGGATAAAGTTTAAAGTATACCAAAAAAAGTTTGTATAATTATATAAATAGGCCAGTAGTGGCAGTAGTAGACCACAGTGAAGAGTTATACATGCAAGTCAGATCAGTATTGCCGTTCCGCCGTGGAAGGTGAGGGCGCTCCTTCCAGTCCACCGATGCTTTTACACAGACTGGCTGACCCCCCCACCAACACCCACAAGCCACTTCCTCTTTTGTCTAATTTCATGGCGATCGGGAGAGAGGGAACACCACCGACGCACGCACACTGTCTCAGCACTCTTGAAAGAGTTTATCCGGGGTAAATAACAGACAATTTTTGCAAGATTCGGTCACTGAGTTTCAAAGTAGTCCCGCTTGAATTCAGTCACGTGGGCGATTCACATTTCCCTATAGAATTGATCATTTCTTTAGCTTCTGGGTCAGATATTTCACATTGTAGCGCCACTCGCTGATAACAAATCGGACGAAATGGGCTCCCCCTGCGCTCGCATCTCTCCCACACACTCAGCGGCACGCTAGTTAACGGCGCTGGCTAGCTAACGTTAGCAATGCTGCAAACGCCTCATAAATGTAGCTATGGAAATGATTCACACTTCACAACTTAGCGGCAGTTAAATAACGACAGGTGCTGGGTGTATGTTCGGGAGTTAACAGGGATGTGTATTTAAAGTGTTAGCAACTTAAAGTCCTCAAATGTTTGTTTGGGTTAGCTAGCCAAAGTCGGCTAGCTAGCTGCTGTGCTATATATTTAGTTAGCGTTAGCTCGGGTCGCGATTCAGAAGTTAATGTAAGCTAAACTACCTCAGAAGGAGTATTAATGTAATCGTGATAGATTTACAAAATAAGAACGCCTAATTAACGTGTATTTAAATGGAACATAATATCACCATTCATCTCCCCGGTTATTCTTGATAACTGAGAAACGGCTTGGTTAGCAGCAGAAGCTAGTTAGCTAGTTAACGGTAACTTGGCTGCTAACGAACGGCTCACGACCCAAAATGATATTTTCATCCTTTTACTTATCGTTAAAATTAGCTACTCGTACTGTCGACTAACATTGACTGTTAGCGGTAGTGGTTAACAGTTTACAGGCACTATGTGAGAGAGTGATGTTATTGCAAGCAAAAGTAAAGTTGACCACAAAGTTGTAACGTTAAACAACGATGAACAACCCTAACAAGTTAAACAGTAAAGTGATTTGAGTATGAGCCAGTCCTGAACGAGTTGAGCACAAATTACCTTTATCAAAACATGTGTGTTGCCAGGGCCTGCAGGTAACACTACATTTAACTGCTGTGTATGTAATCCTGTATATATTGGTAACGTTTCTTCCTAACACGCCACCTGCAGTGATAACACCTTTGACATTGTCATAATCTAATATCTTTGAGCCATTTCTTTGTTTACAGTGTAAACTAAGTTGTCAACCTGACTGGCACAACATTGTTCTCCAGGTGAGTGTCTTTTCAGTCTGTCACGGAAGAAATACTATTACGGATTTCTCTAGGTTTCATTTGATAAACTTCAACTTCTTTGGCATCATATCTTGGTTTTAATAGCTACACATGAATATACTACATTCCCATGCCAAGAAGAGTCACTGCTAATTTTTAAAATTCATTGTTCATATAATTCTTTCAGTTATTCTGGTATTTACATATGGAAATATAAATGAATTACTTTTTCACTGAATGATTTTTCTATTTGTGTGCAGGTGAAACTAGGTGGACATCTTTAAAGGGGGCTCCATAGCACTTGGATCTGTTCTTCTCTGTCCCAGGTTCAGACTGCTTGGTCTATGGCTCTGATGGACAAACACAAACAGGTCAAGCGACAGAGACTTGACCGCATTTGTGAGGGTGAGATTACATAAAAACTCAAACAAGTATAAGTAAATATGTAGTTTGTGTTTATGAGGGGTGTGTGTGTGTGTGTGTGTGTGTGATATATATATATATATATATATATATATATATATATATATATATATATATATATATATATATATATATATATATATTTTAATATAAAGTATTAAAAACTTGTGTTATACCCAAGCCATCATGCCCATATTGTAAGAAAGTTAAAGGTGGGGTATAGAATTGTCTTGTTAAATTCAGCAAAAATCTCCTCACGGTCAGCTAGCTGTGCAAAAAAAGAAATCTTATGTTTGTACTCAGCCCTGGCTCTGTAAATGGGAAACAAATGGGCTCGGAACGAGCCACACAACACTATTCCATCCATGATTTGTGTGTCAGGTAACGTTAAATGACTTGACCACAGACATTCAGCTTACTTTCTAGTTTGCCCAAACATGCTGCTGTTGTGATGTTGGCGATAGTAGCATGAAAGTTTGAGAATCTCTGTCTGGAGCTGGTGTGCTGGCTCTGGGAACGTCTCCCCCACTCTGCACATTAGCTTCACAGCAGCAACAGTTTGCTAACACACAACAAACGCTAGTTACATGACTTGTTGTGGTGGTGTTCACTGTATCTCATGGTATTTGTGATATTGGATTTTTTTAGAATTGCATACCCCACCTTTAAGCCAAGTGGAAAAAATACCTTTTTGCTGTGTCTGCATGTGAAAACCACAACATTTTTAGCTTTAGCCTTGCAACTATGTAAGCAGACCATTAGTGGGGGCAGATTTAGCCTATTTAAACTAGAAAATGATCAAAAGGGTTATGTTTGTGAAATTCTGCTATGATTGGTTGCTTTTGATATATTTCCCTGGCACTCTAGGATTATTCTGGCTTTATGAAGTGCAGTTCTTGCTTTATGGCGGTGACTGGCTATTGGTTAACACATCTGTCTCTGGTGCTCTTAATCGGAAGTAGTTATGTGACTGGTTAAAATGTTGACCCTGATTGTATTTCTTACTATCTCTGTGCATTAGAGTGGAGGAGGTTGCTGTTTGTTCATTTTTATTTATTTTTTTGTGTGAAATTGGCATGTCAGTAATGTACAGATGGAAGCTTTGGACTGTATTTTATATTAAGGATAACAGAAAATAAGTCAGCTTTTTATGTTGCTACAAATATGTTATCATGGATGATACAGCGCAGATTTCTAAAAGAGACAGTATTTTGAGCTGTTGTAGTGATGAGAGTAAACGATGGAGATTAGACGTAATGGTGTGCTAAAATGGAGGGAACAGTCTGGGTGAGTCTCTGGAGACGGGTGAGAGGGAGAGGACAAGGTGAAGGGTCGTGGCCGCAGCTACAGGGAAACGGGCCAGCTGTCTCTTTAAAAAACGACAACAGCCCAAACCGCCCTCGGCCTCTGCCTCGGCTATTCTAATGAGGTTAGTGCTGGTTGGCTGGCCTTCAATGAAGTTGCCTGTGATTGGATGCTGGGCGTGGGGGAGGGGCTGGGCGTGGATGACAGCTGGGATTCAGCCAGCCAAGAACAGGCTGACATAGAGAGAGAGAGGGAGAAAAAAAAGAGCGATAGAGGGAGAGAGAGAGAGTGAGAGGAAGACAGGCTCACAGACTTCATAATGCAAGGTTAGGCCCGGTGCTCATGTGTTTTCTATTTTGGCATGTGTTTTTGAAATTTGTGAACTGTGGGGTGAGAGATCTAAGGTTTGGGTGTGGAGCAGCTATGTGTGCGCAGTTTTCCTTTTATGTTCAGCTCGTATTGGTGTCGTCGCAGCCGCTAAGAAGGAACTGAATAACTGTGTGTGTGTGTGTGTGTATGTCTAGCTGCGTCTGGGTGGAGTACCGCTGCTTGCTGCATTATCATCGTTCGCTGCCCCTCCCCCCCTCACCTCTTACTCCTCTAACTGCGGCCAGAGGGAGAGAGAAGAGGAGAAGGGAGTGAGGGGAAAGAAAGGGAGGGAGAGGGAGGGAGAATGAATGAATCACTGAATGAATTGTATTGTGTGTGCGGCCATGCTTGTGCTTAGTAGGCCTCGGGTATGCCAGTGTCCTTTGACTCAAATTACTGTGTGTGTAGGACTACTTGTATATTTCCAGAACTACTTTTTCAGAGGGGGTCTTTGTGATTAATGCCTTAGGGTTTTTCTACATAGTTAGGGTCTCTTTGTGCTTTCAGCGTGTAGCAGTAGGCCTGTTAGCATTCTTGAGCCATCTGCAATGAATGTGAATCACACTGCTAGATGGAGTGCAGTAGATTGTATGTTTTTATAAGGGTTTCTAAGCTATATCTTTCTTCTTTTGCCTGTGTGGGTTTCATAACAACCACTGGGAAATGCTCAGGCGTCAGAGGAAGTGTTCACAAATATTTGTTTTCCACCCTCAGCTACCAGCTCCCTTCCCTCCTCTGCAGTCTCACCATTACCTCCTGCCCTCTGTCCAAGTAAATGTTTCAGCTAGACACACTCCCCCACCCTGGGAGACACACACACCCACACACCTGTCACACAGCAGGGACAAGATAGTGTGTACTGGTGCATGTGTGGGATTAGTCCAAGTGAGAAGAAGACAGAAAAAGAGGTGTAAAAAGCATTTGCAGATATAACCATTAGTGTTAATTTCCCCTAATGTAACACCAATGCATTTGCAGAGACATGGCATTTATTTAAGTCGATTTGATTTTGATATGCAACATTTCCTTTGTTGGCATAATGGTAAATGACCATGTTGCGCATGGGCCAAATGTGCACGTCTGCGAGGAAGGTGTGCGTGTGTCTGAAGAAAGAGGAGAACGAGAAAAATATGAAGGAGAGGGACTCTTCCAGACAGGAGAATTTAGGTCATGACTCAGACCCCCTCATGAACCCCCACCTCCTCCCCGAGACCCCACAGCCTTCTCCACCCCTCCCCCACCCGCTACACTCCATCACCTCTTCCCCCTCCCATCCCATCCGCCTCCTCTCTGTGTGCAATCTTCTCGTACAGCGGCAGGTCAAGTTCCCAGACATAACACTTAATCAACACTGCCCTGCCTCATTAATCTAACCTTCCCTAGTCTAAGGACCCAAGTAGAACAGCTGGATCGATGAAAGCTGGACGGTGTATATTGGATCCATGCATTCCTGGACAGAGCTGCAGTTCAATACCAAATAGGCCAGGATACTGGACACTGTCCATGCCCCATCACAGATTTAGTTACACATCACTTTTGTAACCAAAGAACACTGTGTAGGAACACACACACACTAACACACATCATCCTAGTAGTTCCCTTAGTGTGTAGGTGGATGGGTTGGAAAAAGAGAGTCATAAAAGTCTGAGTTATTATTGTCTAAGCAGTGTGGCAGTTAGCCCCGTTCACTAACCATGTGTGCAGGGGGATTTTGTGAGTGTATGATGACTTGCATCACGCTGGGTAGTCCAGACATGGGAAATGCAGACGCTAATCTCAAGCTTAACCCTGCTGGTTGCTAAAATGCTTGTAGCTGTGTACACCAAGTGTCACCATAAAGTTGTCTCTGCAGTAAGAGAAAAATGAAAACATGTTACGGGTTTTTTTTCTCACGAAATTGTAATGATTATTGAATATTTATACTAAACTTAAGGTATCCGACCCCCCATCCTGAACGGGCCAATGCACCCGCGGCCCCTGGTGGCCCTGCTGGATGGGCGTGACTGCACTGTGGAAATGCCCATCCTCAAAGATGTAGCCACAGTGGCCTTCTGCGATGCTCAATCCACACAAGAGATTCATGAGAAGGTATAGTCCACAATCCATTAGGGCAAAACACTTAAATCCTCCTTTCATTCTGACGTAATGTGACAGTAATTAACATCTGCCTTGTACTACCGCAAAGAAAATATTTCCATCCACCCCTAATATACTATTTTAATATGTAGCCAAGCTATGTGGCTCTAATGTCCTTGCCCTTGTCCTTGGTGTAATAGTTTTAGTGTTAAGTACAGTTTAATGAGATTCATTTTCAAATTATTTATAATGTGTTGGTCTTGTCTAGGTGCTAAACGAGGCAGTGGCCGCCCTGCTCTACCACACCATCACTCTATCCAGAGATGACTTGGAAAAGTTTAAAGGCCTACGTGTAATTGTCAGGATCGGCTCCGGCTTCGATAATGTTGACATCAAAGCAGCTGCTGAGCTAGGTGAGTGGTTTGGGGGGGGGCATAATTTGAGACAAACACGGGCAGCTATGTGCTCACGCATAGATTAACACAAAGAGTGCTTAATATTTCTTTCCTCTTTTCGACCGGACTTCCAGGCATTGCGGTCTGTAACGTGCCAGCAGCCTCGGTGGAGGAGACAGCCGACACGTCGCTATGTCTGATCCTCAACCTGTACAGGCGAGTCACTTGGATGCACCAGGCCCTCAGGGAGGGAACCCGTGCCTCTAGTGTGGAGCAGATTAGGGAGGTAGCTGGCGGTGCAGCTCGTATCCGGGGAGAGACGCTGGGCATTATCGGTCTAGGTGAGTGAAGAGTGGGTGTCTAGATTTGTTCATAGGGGCATAATAGCCAGGTAATCAAACGCTTCCCTAAATCAGAGATGGTATTTAGCTGACTGTAATTGAACAAAAAATATGTTGTGCTTTAGGGGATCTGTTTAATCCAAGCTTGACAGATGGTCGGACAGACAGACAGTATGCTGTAGGACCTGTTTGGCATTGTGCTTTAATTAAAGGCTGATTTTTATTTTAGTTTCAACAAGGGCTGTTTTGAGCAATCGCGCTGCAACTGGCATCAGAAAAACAGGGCTGCAAAGTAATCCTTATGGGCAATTGCGCGCTGTCAACGTACAACCACTAAGGTGCTTGTTTTTGCCACTCACAGGCTCAGATTATTACGAGTGTCTGACGTTTTGGAAATTATCCATACAGAAACAGGTTTGGAGATCCTTTTTGTTTCACCAGGAAAAGTCACTGTATCGCTCTCGTCAAAGCCGTAAAACGGTAATCTTGCAGAACACAGGACTTGGTCTACCGCTGCCTCAGTCTGTTAGACTTTGTTGTTTTTTGTTTGTTTTGTGTTGTTGTGTGACTTTTGTGTTTCAAAGTGTTATATACACCAAAGTTACAAAGCAACACAAACTAACTGAGGCCGCGGTAGACCAGAGAGATAAAATTACTATTTTTGTTAAGGAAGAAACTCTTCAGAGGTCTTTAAAAAGGTCTACATCTGTAGGAATCCTTTCCATAATGTTGTCAGACACTTCTAATAACAATCTTAGCGTGTTAGTAGCAAAAACTAGCATTTAAGTGGGCATGCTTTGAAAGGGCGCAATTGGCTGCAAGGATTACATTGCAGCGCTGTCTCGTTGCTGCCGACTGCAGAGCACTCGCTCAATGCTGGAACAGTTTCAAAAAATGTTGCCCCACTTAGTCACATAGACACAACAACATGGGAAAATAGGCTCCAGTTTGTTCCCCTTTAAAAACCTTACCATTTCTTTGTCTTCCAGGGCGTGTTGGCCAAGCAGTGGCTCTGCGGGCTAAGGCCTTTGGTTTTGGCGTGATCTTCTATGATCCCTACCTGCCTGATGGCGTGGAGCGCTCACTGGGCCTTCAGCGCATGGCCACCCTGCAGGACCTGCTCATCCACTCTGACTGTGTATCCCTGCACTGCAGCCTCAACGAGCACAACCACCACCTCATTAATGACTTTACCATCAAACAGGTGTGTGGATGCACCCTGAATGTGCGAAACCCAAATTTTATTAGTTGGTGTTTTTCCAACCACCTCAAATGTTGAAGTGTTTAGAAAAGGCAGCATCTAATCAAGTTGCGCATATGTCACTTGGGTTGAAATACTGTAAAAAGGCTGCATGTTGTCATTTTAGCCATTTGTCAAATTTTTTATCTGAAATATGTCTTGCATCAATGGTTGTGAGTTCAGTTGGATCAAGATTTCATCAAATTGGCTTGTTTTCTAAAGTCTCTTCTCAAATCAGCCTTTTTACTTTTTACGACGTTTGTGCACTCTGTCCTGTCTCATTTTTCCTCTTGCTGTATGTGAGGATAATGAAAGGATTAGTTATGGAATATATAGAGGAAATAATATATTTTTTGCGTTCATTCGGCCTGCATCAGTTCAGTAAATTGCTGATTTAGCGCAATGGGAATGTTCTAATGTGAGCCCCATGTGCGACAGCATATAAGATTGAGGAATGGAAAAATATGTTCTGCAGCCAGTCAAGGCTAAAATGTAGAACCCTGAACCATCTATTAGACCAATTGGTTGATATTCTACAAATGAAAGGAGGAAGCTCGAACATAACCAGCAAAAATCAGAATTTTGTGTATATATGTCTTAAAATCCAGACTTAGGCGTTTGGTTAACTATGATGGAGCATAATGGTCTAGACAACTTGGCCTGAACCAAACATTGTTTGAGTCTGTACTGCTGTATGTAACTGCCGATGGAAGGTTTCAGCCTTCTCTGGCATTATGTGCTCCCCATAGTTTAATCATACTGTTGCTAACTCTGCGATACAGATGCGTCAGGGAGCTTTCCTAGTGAACACATCAAGAGGCGGTCTGGTTGACGAGAAAGCATTGGCTCAGGCCCTGAAAGAGGGCCGGATACGAGGGGCTGCCCTAGATGTCCATGAGGCAGAACCATTCAGGTAACCCTATTACACAAGTAACACCAAGAGCTGTGCATGATACACAACCATATCACTCTTCTCTTTAACAACCTGTCCCCTTCTTAACAGTTTTTCAACAGGCCCTCTGAAGGATGCCCCCAACCTGATCTGTACCCCGCACACATCCTGGTACAGTGAGCAGGCCTCCATCGAGGCTCGTGAGGAAGCAGCCAGGGAGGTTCGCCGTGCCATCACCGGTAAGAACTCACAGAGTTCACCAGGGTTGATCCTGGTTCAAAATGAGGCAGAGTTGCTACTTTGAGATCACTTGCACACACGTGCATGTGTACCGTGCCTTCAACTGGCTCAGGCAAACACTTTTTACAACATAATTTAAGAGTTCTAATAATTATATGATTGGAGAAAATTACAATTATCACGTTATATTCATATTTTATAAAAAAAAAAAATCTTCATCATTCAAAATCAAATAACACATTAAAGCTAATGTGTCAGTTTACAGTTACAAAAAAGTAATTGTTTAAAATTAAATCAAATATAATGCTTTCATTTATAGTTCAGGCTCATCTCTTGCAGTGTAGCTGATGTGTTTTCCTGGATATTAAATGTTCATCTGCAGCTGTAGTGGTCCCAATGGTTTTTGTGTGGCAGATCTTATTGTGCATTTATTTTTTATTTTTTTTATTTTTACACGTGTTTGTGTCTGGCCTGAGTGTTTACAGAATGTGTATATATGTATTTGCAGAGAATAGAAGGGCTTTAAAGATAGGTGCATGATCCCTTACATGACTTGATTACAGTATGTGAGATACTCCAAATTAGGGTTGGGCCAATAGACGATGCCATCGTCCTCACTCTGTCCCTCTCTCCCCCTGTTTGCCCTACTATCTCAGCAGTATGTTTTATAAAGTTTTCCACCTGCGATCCATCATCACAGCAGCGGGTTAACCGCATGCTGGCTTGTAAAAAAACGTATCAAATGATTGAAACCAACATCTGCTCTCTGTGTGTTCACTGCTGCTTTACGTGGTCTGTGCTTGTAAAATATCAACTGGGTCCGTGACTTGTAACCTAGTAGGCTACCAAGTGTTTTACCGAGTGAAGTCTGCGTCTGAAACCAAATAACTGATAAACACCATAGTTGGTGATCAATTTTCTGTTGATTGACTAATCGATTAATTGACCAGTCCTTTCAGCTGTAGTTCAAATTTTGGGGCAATATTAACACTTTGTTCGAGTATTAACTTATCAGAGCTGTGCTGAAAATAATGCAGACTGCATTTTGTAAATTCCTCATCATTTTATACTTCCAAATTGTATAAAACCAGAAAGTGATTAGGCTGCCCTCTAAATATTGATCATTTAAATCATCCTTCATAAAGCCTCAGAGTCGATGGTCATTTTGTCAGTCGAATCATTGCACTTTTTGTAAGCTACATTTTTGTACACAGAGCAATGCAGGATAACAGCATGGCAGGCTATGAACTTTCAAATGAAACTGCCAAACTACAAAACTAGCTGTAACTAACTAAATGTAGAAGGGTGGTCTCTGTTCACTACTGATAGATTAGCTATGGGTTACAACCGCCCATTGTGATCCGCAGTTTGGGGCCATCAGGAGCCACAAGGGAGGTCCGTGGTGCACTAAGGTTTTTATTAGTGAACTATCACCACCCTAGTCGGGCACAGCCCCTAAAACTGTTCAAATAGTCAAAAACAGGATGTTGACCTTGGTTTTTTCGCCAGAAAACTTCCAGAAAAGAGCAATGGTCTGTTTTCTTTCCTCTAGGGCGTATCCCTGACAGTCTGAAGAACTGCGTTAATAAGGAGTATCTGATGGCAGCCTCTCAGTGGCCCAGCATGGAGGCAGCCACTGTCCACCCAGAACTTAATGGAGCCACTTACAGGTGAGAGGAGTGGATGCTGAAGATGGACAGGGATTACACGTCAGGCGAGGGTTATTAGGCTGAACATGGATCTGGATGTAGTAAGAATCTTATTAAGGTTTTTTTTCTTCACCAGAGCAGCTATCATATGATTTTTTTGTGTTTTTTTTTTTTTTTTTTTTGCATCTGTGTCAGATTTCCTCCAGGTCTGATCAGTGTTGCCACAGCAGGGGGTCTCCCCGGAGCTGGCGCAGGGGTTGAAAGCCTGGTTTCAGGAACCCTGGCGCACGGTATCGCCCCTGTCTCCCACCCCCCTCATGCCCCCTCCCCGGGGCAGCCTACTAAGGCCGAAGCCGACAGAGACATCCCCTCCGACCAATAGCCCCTCCTGCTGCCGCCAGCACATTCCGTCACATCTGGAAACCAACCCCCACCTCCACCTCCCAGCATCAGACACAGCCCGACCCTCCAGTCCATCGGCAGCGCCAGTTTGACCTGATGTGGATCTACACGGTCTCGTTCCTCACATAACCAGCCCAGGAGTGACTTACTCACATCTAGCCCCAGACCATCCACACCCCCAAGAACACAAACATCCCTCCATCTTCGTCCTCATCTCACCCACCATCCCCTCTACCCTTCACTCCCCCACAACGTCAGCAATAACTGTGTTCTCAAGGATTCAATGATTGGATTGGTTTATATCCTTAGTTGGCCGTTGTTTTAATGGAAAGTTGATCTGTTGTGGTTCTAGGTGTTAATGTTTTTGTTTGTTTGTTAAAAAAATAGAATTTCTGACATGAGGCTTGACAGTCTGCTGCCTCCTGCAGTTCCTCTGACTCTGACCAGTAGAGGCACAGAGGCAGATGGGTTGAAGCCCTCCTTTGTACATTAATGGCTCATGTTACTGCTCTCTTCTTCTTTTCTTTTTTTTTTCTCCCCCCCCCCTCCACCTTTCTTGTGATGGGGGAAATGTGTACTAAAGTAAACCAGACAGAATCACAAACAGTACATCCTGCCCCCACCACCAGGCATCTACCCCTCAGCCCAGTTTGGCCATTGGGCTGTCCCAGGCACTGTCGCCAGCTTGCTCAGCAGAGGATCCTTAACTCTGTAAGTGTGGAGCTCTCCTCCATGTATTTCAAAACACTTTGCCCCCTCATGTTTTGTCATGAGATAAAAGCTCAGAGCGTCATATCAGAGAGCACCTAGGCTTGAATTTCCATCTCACGCCAGCAACCAGAGTGCTACATGTGAGGTCTTTACACACGGTGCCCACACAGAATCAAAATGCAGCTTTTTCTTGCTGGGAAAAAAAACACAGCATACAAGAGGCCTCGCCAGCAGAGGGCACCATCTGACCGCTCAGAGCAAAGAAAGTTACATGCAGCTCATTTCAGCCTAACAGATGGGACAGTTACAGGTTAGCTGTAGTGACGAAGAACATGATCACACACTGCCGACATTCAGAACACAGCATGGGTGACCCGGGATCGACTACCGCCTTATTGTTTAATAAGATCTCACTGCACACCCCCCCGCTGCCACCACCATGTACCATGCACCAACCCTCCACTCCTCTCCCACTGTCATGGCCCACCCTATACATTCACTCATGAACCAGTATGCATCCACCAATTCCTTTAAACGTGAGGGGACAGTAGAGTTTAGATTCCCTGTTAGGAGCAAGGGGACAGTGTTCTTGCATGCTGGCTTTGTTAATGACAGTGGTGTGTGTGTGTGAGTGAGTGTGTGTGAGAGAGAGAGAGAGAGTGTGTGTGAGTGAGGGTTTGTATGTTCCCTCACCCTGTTCTGATAACAAGCTATTGTCTTTCCAAAGGAATAGTCCCTAGGAGTAACTCTTTAACGCTGTTGCCCTGCTGTCAAGGGAACACCTTTCTAGTACCTCAGTAACAGATATTGAATGTACCGTGCATACCCTTTTACTTTTTGTACAGCTTTTCTAGACACTTCTTAACTGTTCTTTACCAGAAGGCTTGTGAAATTGTAGCAGTAATGATACAATTAATAAAAAGAACATTGCCCCATGAAATGAATTGACAAAATCTATTTAGAGTTGCTATAGGTCACTGAATACTCAGGCTTCAAAACCGACGCGTATCTTTTTGCCTTTACCTTCTTTATTTCCTCGTGGAAAATTCAGCACAACACTTTCCCATTCTTAGACTTCAGACTGTAGTTGATGTGTTTCAACCTCCTATCTTACTGGCTAATGAATAAGGAAAAAACAAAAGGCGATCGCCGTGGTCTGCTAGTTTTCTTTTACTAGAACAGTAGTAGTAGATGCAGTTTTGTTTTTTGCTCCCCTTCATTGTCAGGCTGCTCTATCTATAGTGCATGTGGGGTAATTTTTTAGGGGAAATACTATTGGCGTAAAGAATTTGTCATCTTGCTGTTTCCCTCTGCTCCCCAGCATTTTTCCCCGCCCCCTTCAGAGTGTTTTCAACCCAAGTTGCCATTTTTGTCGTGGTCAGTTTCCAGTGATGTACAGTTTTCCCCTCAGAGTCTATGAGAGACATGGAGCATGTCTGTGTCCTGAGATGCTAGGCTCCTCTGTCATGTGATGAGTATATATTTTTAAAAATAACCCCCATAGTTCAGATTATGAGCATAATAGTAATCTTAAATTTTGCTGTTGATGATTATATATATTTTTTTCAGTTCAGCAGTGCACTGTTATGAAAATCATTGTTTTCTTGTAGGATTTCATTTTAATGGATATGTCTGTGTTCTACATGTTGTACTGAAACATTTCAGAGAAAACAAAAGATCCCTCTCCTTGTTTTTTTTTTTATTTTATTTTTTATTTGTCTTATCCCAACTGTCCTTTCCAGCTGATATTCTCTGGGCCTTACTTATTCTCTCCCTGTAAAAGTAGCTGTTTTAGAAAGTCGCCATGGAACCACTCACTGCCTTAATACAGTTGACCACAGCAGGTGAAGTCAGGAGACGCACCCAGTCGAAAAGAACAGGCAGCTCCGCAAAAAGCTCCTCACACCCCGGCAGGTGTAAGTCCGCAGCACCTGGCTTTCGTTTTCAGCAATGAACCATGTTTATCCTCGTGTAGACAGTTTGTTTTCTGCTCGCTCACACACACACACACACACACACACACACACACACACACATCCAGTGTGAACTCTTACTGTGCATTCATGAGTCGTTGTTTTTTTGTTTTCTCATTTTCAATAGTTCTAGTCAGCCCGGCAGTGTGTGCGTGCGTAGGCTAACAGATAAGCACAGTTTGTATGCTCACAAAGCCACAGCTGATATTTCACTCTTGGGTGTGAGAATGCACCTCCCCCTCTCCCTGCCCACCGCCACCACCACTCTGGGGCTCTAATAGCGTCTTTCACAGTGCTGACAGAGCCACAGTGGGGCAGGGAGGGGTGGGGGAACAGCGGATACTGGTGTGGTCTGTCAAAAAAATAAAATAAAAGCAGAAAATTAAGAATCGGTCACTTTTTCTCTCTCAGGGTTCAAATGCACACATATCCTCCAGCAGTCGCCCTCTGTCTTGTGTCCCTTGTCCCCAGTTTTCCTCCCTCAGTATTTAGAACAGCCTACTGAGTTTTTAGAAACCGCTCTCTCCTCGTTCCCTTCCTTTGTGCACAGGTCTGAACTATTCTTTTTTTCTTTTTTTTTTTTTTTTTTTTTTTTTTCTTTCTTTTCTGTTTAGCTTTCTTTTGGCACTGACATCTAACCATCTAACAAGGAATGAATGAATGAATGTTTGAAAGTGACTGTGTAATGTTAAAATTGGGAAATGTATTTTTACAACATGTGAACGTGTTTTGTTTTTTTCTTCCACTCACTCTCATTGTGAATCAATTTTTTTTTTTTTTTTTTTTTTTCTTTTCACCAGACTGCAAAAACAAATGAAAAAAAACCCACAAAAAAATCTCCTGTAACTAGGCTCTTAAGCTTTATTTTTGTTTTGTTTACTTTTTTATTAGAAACAATCATGTTTGTGATGGTAACTTCCGATGGTAAACTCCACACCGTATTTTAATAAAATCTTAAAAATTAAACATTTGCCCTCTTGTTTTTACCTTTCTAAACAACAGTACTTCTCTTCTGATAACCAGAATGCTGCTGCATACTGAACCTGCTGCCTTTGGTCATTTTTTTTTTTTTTGAAAAAGTTTCTGTGCTTGATTTATAGTGGCGAGTAAGTTGGTGACGGTTAATGCCAGTTGCCAGTATGTCGTCTCACTCATTGCATCCAGCAGCTTCAGGACAGAGAGCTGAATTTAGAGTTTGCCATGAACAAAATTGTTTACTATCACAGTTTATCAGCTCTTTTACACGGTTTGCAGTGCCAGAACGGGCATCTTTACAAGTGGGATTTCTAGTTGGGGTGTACGGGAAAGGGGGCTTCTGTGTAGACCAGGAGGGTGGGGGATTATCAGCCCCAAAATTGCTACCACATGCACATAACCAAGAGCCTGCACTTAAAATGGAGTGATGTGACTGAATGCTGCAGCCCCCTTATTGAAGGCACCTTTAAGTGCCCGCTAGCTGTAGGCTGGTACCCTCACGGAAAGTTAAGACATGGATTGTGTTTACTGACTTTATGATGTAATAATTAACTGTATGCATCCAATGTTTTCTTTCATCCCTATAACTAAGCAGACTTCACACAGCTCCCTCTGGAGCCCCAAAAGGCTTTATACAACTTTTGTCACATATGCAGTAGTACTCCCCAAGACCTGTAAACAGACTTTGATGGGTGAAGTTCCCCTCTTTTATTTTAGCCTATTTCTTTAAACCACATGGAGGAGGAGGGTGGGCCATCCTTCTGGCATGTCATGGCAATACATTTATTGCCAGCAATTATGGCCACTGAATCTTGCTTTAAGCCTTGTTTCCCGGGGCAATACTGAAGTGTCCCCTAGCAAGATACATCTGGGTAAGCTAGGTATATCAGTTCTTCTGATTGTGTTTATGTGGTTTTGTTTTTGACACTCGCTGAGCACATGTATGAGGGTCCTTGTCTCTAACTCTGAAATACAGTGGTTAACTTGTAGGTACTTAAATGAGTTGGGGGAGATTAGGGTAGCACTCAAACATTTAAAAGATCAAAGTGTCTCCAAGGAAGGTTCAAGACTTAATGCTGAGCCATTATTATTATCCAAGTGTTTGGATACCCTAACTATACAATATTTTAGTAATCCCATCCTGAAGAATAACAGGGAGAGGGGTATTAATATGAATGGGTGTTTGTTTATTTAACACTAGTACTATGGAGGTATACCTTAATACCCACCCAAATTCTAGAGATAAGATTTATGAGACGATTGTCTACACCTGTTTGTTATCAATGAGATATCTCTTAATAAAAGTAATACCTGGCAGTGGAACCTCATCTGCATAAAACTGCTCTGTCTGCTTCCCAATAGGAAGGTTGTCAAAATGATTTAGCCAAACCCAGATTGATCTAATTTGGGCTGCCCAGTAAGAGAGCTGGAAGTTTGGAAGCTTCAGCCTTCTTCGTGGATAAGGATTACATAGTCATTTTTATGTTGTGTAGCTTCCCCAACATATAAACCTGGAGATCAAGGTTTGTAATTTCCAAAATAATTGTCTTGAAATTTGATTTTGGGATGTGGAGAGTTTGAAATAAATATGGAATCGTTCTGTCTCAATCATTGTTAACCCTTTTAACCAAAGGCTCAAATTTAAGTGAATGTAATTTATCATTGTTTAAATGATTAGAGATCTTTTAACCCAGATAAGTCATGTAGTGGGTGTCCCTCTGAAAAGCAAAGTTAGACTACGACAACTGCTCTACAGGGAGGCTGAGAGGCAAGGCTACGCTTTTTTAGAAATTAGCTTTACACTAACTTTTACATTATAGGTATCTAACAAATCATTGAGAGCTGATCCCTTAAGGGGTGTGAAGTTATTGTGATGGCTAAAGGCTCAATCACAAGTGCACAAAACAGCCAGCCTAGCATTGGTTTATGTCTTATAATCAGATAGTGAGAGTGGTCCACCCAATTTAGCATCCCTCCATGGTTTTAATAAAACTATCAGACTTCAGCTGAATGGTTAAACATGTCTAAAACAGGGTTTGTTAATTTACTCAACAATGTCATTCAAGAAACCATCTGGTCTACCTCACAGGAGCCTGGCTAAGAGCATCTGTCACCTCTTGTGTAGTTATCTTATTTTCAAGATTCTATTTAACAAAGTACAGAGAGGTCTAAACTGTCTAGTTTTGTTTCATCAGTATTAACACCCCCTAATTAATATAACAACTGAAAGAATTCAGAGTGGTTGGGTGGCGAACCACATCAGTCACATAAGATTTACTGGATGAAATTATTTCTAGAGGCTTCTTCTGATTTGCCATGCTAACAGTTTACCGGATGTATGTCCCTGTTCATCCTAACTATGTTTCAACTTAGCTTTTGTATTCTCAACCTCCCTTGCGGTGAGAGTCATATTCTTGTTCTTTTGGATTGTCACTGTCTCATTTGGATCATCCTGATTTGGACCATATACTGAATGTTAAGCATAGTTGTTGGCTCATGTGCCAGGGAGTCTCTAACTAAAATGATTATATATATGCTAGTTCTGACACTGTGAGCTAAATGCTAATGTTTGCATCCAGACATGCTCACAACAACGCTAACATGATGACGTTTAGCAGGTTTAATGGTAACCATAGTCACCATTTTAGTTTAGCGTGGTATGCTAACATTTACTAAGTAGCACTGATATATAATAAAAATAATAATATTTGATCATAAACTAAAGTCTTGGACAAATAAAAACCTGATGATGGCACTAGATGAAAAGTTATCACATCGGACATGAATGTGTGAACCAAATTTTATGGTAATCAATTCAATAGTTGTGGAAATGTATACTCAAAACCACAAATGTCAACTTTATGGTGGCACTAGAGTTAAGAGGAAAGGATCACCAAAGGCACTAGGATTCATCCTCTGGAGACGTGACATGAATGTTTGTTCAAAATGGCAATCAATCAAATAGTTATTAGGAGCAGGAGGAGGCCTCAGATTTCATCAGGTTTAGGAATATACTAGTCAAACCAGTAAAATGGCAGTACTGGTTCCCATACTGCTCCTGGGTCTGTACCTTCAATAAACTATTTTGTGTGATGGGATGGGCCATCCTGCTTCGGTAACTTCTATTGGTTTCAGTAAGTGGGTCACAAAAAAGAAGAAGACGACTCAAAGGTCAAAGGCCATGCAAGATCATTTAACTGAGGTCCAGAGATGAGAACATCAACTAAGTAAAATAGTTTTGGGCCTTGATTGCAGATCAGGATGTCTGTGTGTGAGAGAGAAAGTTAGTATATGTGTATGCTTGTGCATACATGTCTGTGTGATGAATTAGTCTACAGACAGATGACCTATCCCACTTGGAGGGATCATGCTACCAACCCCAAAGCCGAGTGGGTAAATATTTGCCTTTGGTTGTCTTTGGAATGATTAAATATTATTCCAGCCATCGAATGACTCAGATGTTGCATTACCGTCAGTCTGCAGCTTTGTTTTCCCTTTCAAAAGATACACAGTGCATCTTTATTTGAACAACTTGACTTAGAATATAAGGCTCATTATTCTGTATTTTATATATATTTTAGTGTCATCAGACCTAATGAAAAGACTAAAACCAACAATTAATTGATCACACTAACATGTAGTGACTGTGTATCCTGATAGAAGCCTGTTTTAGCTTGTTCTTCCGATCCATTATTGTCCAAAGACACAGAAACAAACGTGTATTAATCTACAGCTCAAAATAGTCTCCAACCAACACATTATTTTATATCCTGTTGAGTAATGTTTGCTAAATACTACAGTGCCCAGATGTTTTAGGAAATGACTGAGCCCAAAATACTGTATATATTTGTGTTTTAGTCATGCCAGTGGTGTGGATCAATTAAAAAAGTTGATTGGTCAGTCAGTGGTTTTCTATATTTTTCTCAATTATTTTATTCCTTTATTATTCTTATATAACTTGCATATGTTTATTCCATATTTCTACATTTATTTATGTCAACTGTATGTTTGTCTACATGTAGCATGTTATCACCAAATCAAATTCCTTGTACGTGTAAAACATTACTTGGCAATAAAGCTCTTTCTGATTCTGATTCTGATCCAAATTGAAATGCCTCTAAAATCTATTTTTAAAAAATTGTAATAATTTTGGTGATCCTGACCTGAACCTTTCAACAAGCGCCATCATACCTGTAAAGCTAATGAGACTCCCAACAGCCTCGACTGTACTTAAGCTCAAATCACCGCTGAGCTTCAGTACAGCCTCACAGAGCCGCTAACATGGCTGTAGAATAGTCTTGTTCAAGATTTACATCATTGTCACTGTATGAGCTTTGAGCTGAGTGCCACAAATAGAGAAGAGGAATCAGCCAGGATTGAGAGCATTGCTGTAGATCTCGGGGAGGGACGCAGGGTGCATATCCCCTTCAATTTGTAGCACACGTGCATTTTCCCCTCAACAATGCATCCGGCCAAGTAAGTGGGGGCAGTAATTAACCTCAAAAGCAATGGTTGCAACCTGCCATAAAACAGAAAGAAGAAGAACAAACTATGCACGGTAGATAACTGGGGAGGAGCAAGAGTGAAAAGGAGGAGGATATCTGATATTTTCTCAAAAAGTCTCAAATGTAAGTTATGAGTTGTGATGGCAGCTAACTACTAGATAATGTTTATCAAGTTTACTTAGAAGTGTTGTTTGCTATTTTGCTAATTAATATTGAGGGAATGTTACCTGCCCATTATTAAAACTTGCAGGCCTGAAAGCCTTACTGCATTATATTCCATTATATTTTGACTTGTCACTATGCCTGAATTTTGGGTTTTCCTTTACATAAATAACAACATTTTCACCATGAATTGATGCAGAAAGTGTGCATGTGGGGCATAAAATTGTTTGTGTTTTTGTTTTCTTTAGATTTTTGACAACTCTGCTTCTGATTGGCTAGTACCCTTTGCCTCCATTGGTTAGGTTGTTAGTATGGGGTAATGGG